AAAATGATAAAGCAATTGTGATAAATGTCAATAACTGGTGAAGCTGGGTAAATAAAAAGCCTCTGGATCTCTTTATAATCACTTTTCTGTAAGTCTGAAATCATGCCAAAATAAAAAGTATTCGATGTAGCCACTTTGAAAAACAGTATAGAGACTCCTCAAAAAGTTAAAAATTGAACTACCATGTGATCCAGCAAATTCACTTCTGGGTGTTTATCTGAAGAAAACGAAAGCACTAATTAGAACAGATATATGCACCCCCACCTTCATTGCTAAATTAAATCATTTATTTCATTTCTAAATGAAATTTAGAATATATCCTTCATAACTAAAGGAAATCAGTCCTGAATTTTCATTGGAAGGACTGATGCTGAAATTGAAGCTCCAATACTTCGGCCACCTGATGCGAAGAACTGACTCCTTGGGAAAGACCCTGATGCTGGTAAAGATTGAAGGCAGGAGGAGAAGGGGATGACAGAGGATGAGATGGTTGGATGGCATCACCGACTCGATGGACATGAGTTTGAGCAAGTTCCAGGAGCTGGTGATGGACAGGGAAGCCTGGTGTGCTGCAGTTCATGGGGTGGCAAAGAGTTGGACATGACTGAGTAACTGAACTGAATTGAAACTTCATTGCAGCATTTTTACAATAGCCAAGACATGGAAGCAACCTAAGTGTCCAATGCTAGATGAATGGATAAAGAAGATACAGTGTATATATACATAATGGAATACTACTCAATCATAAAAAGAATGAAATCTTGCCATTTTCAACAACATAAAGGTATTATGAAGGACAAATACTGTATGATTTCATTTATATATAGAATCTTAAATAAATGATTTATATAAATGATAAACATAAAACAGAAGCAGAGTCAAGATGCAGAGAACAAGCAGGTGGTTGCCAGAGGGGAGGTGGGTGGGAGGGGCAAGACAAAAATAGGTAAGGGAGATTAAGAACTACAAACTTCCAATTGCAAAATAAATGAGTCATGGGTATAAAATGTACAGAATGGGGGACATAGTCAATAACTATGTGATATCTTTGTATGGTAACATATCCTGTAACTAGACTCATTGTGGTGATCAGTTTGAAACATAAGTAACCAGTCACTATATTGTGTAACAGGAACTAACAGTGTTGTAGGTCAATTACATTTCAAAAACAAACTCATAGAAAATGAGATTATTCTTCAGTAAGTGGTGCTGGGGAAACTGGACAGCTACATGCAAAAGAATGAAAGTAGAACATTCTCTAATACCACATACAAAAATAAAGTCACTGTGGATTAAAGACCTAAATGTAAGACCAGAAACCATAAAACTCCTAGAGGAAAACATAGGCAGAACACTCTGGCATAAGTCATAGCAATAGTTTTTTGGGTCTGTCTCCTAAAGCAAAGGAAATAAAAACAAAAATAAACAAATGGAATCTAATTAAACCTGAAAGCTTTTGCACAGCAAATGAAATCATCAGCAAAACAAAAAGACAACCTACTGAATGGGAGATAAAGTTTGTAAATGATATGATCAATAAGAGGTTAATATCCAAAACACATAAACAGCTCATATAATTCAACATCAAGAAAAGACCACACGATCTGAGTAAAAAATGGACAGAAGACCTGAAAAGACATTTTTCTAAAGAGGACATTCAGGTGGCCAATAGGCACATGAAAAGATGCTTGACATCATTAACCATCAGAAAAATGCAAATTAAAACCACAATGGATATCATCTCACATCTGTCAGAATGGCTATCATAAAAAAAAATATCAAATGTTGGCAAGCATGTGGAGAAAAAGGAACCCTCATACACTGCTGATGGAAATGGAAATTGGTGCAGCTGCTATGGAAAACAGTATGAAGGTTTCTCAAAAATTAAAAATAGAACAACCATATGAACCAGCAATTTCACTCCTGGGTATACATCCAAAAAGAAAAAAAAGAAAATATTAATTCAAAAAGATATATGTATCCCAATGCTCATAGCAGTGTTATTTACAACGGCCAAGATATGGAAGGAATTCATCCATCAACAGACAAATGCATTAAGAAGACATAATACACACACACACACACATATGAATACTACTCAGCCATAAAAAGGAATGAAATTTTGCCATTTCCAACAATATAGATGGACCTGGAGGGTATTATGCCAAGTGAAATAAGTCAGCCAGAGAAAGACAAACACCATATATCACCTATATGTGGAATCTAAAAAATAAAACCAACTAGTGAACATAATAGAGAAGAAACAGCCTTACAGATATAGAGAACAAATTGGTGGTTACCAGTGGGGAGAGGGAAGCGGGATGGAGGATTAAGAGGTAAAAACCATTATGTACAAAGTAAAAAAGCTACAAGGATATATCATACAACATGGGGAATACAGTCAACATTTTATAACAACTTCAAATGGAGTATAACCCTTAAATTGTGAGTCACTATGTTGTCCAACATGTAACTTATATAATATACACCAATTATGCTTCAATTTAAAAAAGGTCACATTTGTGGTTATCAGAGGTGGGGGATGGGGTATTGGATGAAGGCAATCAAAATGTACACGCTTCTTGGAGGGAATATAAGTTGGTGCAGCCACTGTTTTGAGCCAGGATGGAGGTTCTTCAAAAAACTAAAAATCGAATTACCATATGATCCAGCAATCCCACTCCTGGGCATACATCCGGACAAAACTATAATTCAAAAAGAAACAGGCACTCCTGTGTTCACAGTAGCCAAGACAGGGAGACAACCTGAATGTCCGCTGACAGATGAATGGATGAAGAAGACGTGGTGCATATGCAATGGAGTGCTATTCAGCCATAAAAAGAACAAAATAATGTCATTTGCCACCACAAGGATGCAACCAGAGATTACCGTACTAAGTGAAGTAAGTCGAAAAGAGAGAGACAAATACCAGATGATATCACTTATACGTTGTGTCTAAAACATGACACAATGAGCCTATCTATGAAACAGACATGACTTAGAAACTGAACAACAATCAGGACAAAACAGAAGCAGAATCATGGACACAGAGAATAAGGACAGATCTGTGCTTGTCGAGGGGGAGGGGGTTGGAAGAGGGATGGAGTGGGACCTTAGGGTTAGCAGAGATACGTTTTTATATAACAGATGGATAAACATCAAGGTCCTACTGATATATGATTAGTGATAACAATATGTCATTATGTTATATATTCACTATCCTATGATAAACCATAAAGGGAAAGGACATAAGGAAAAGAATGTATATATAACTGAATCACTTTTCTGTACAGCAGTAATTAACAACATTGTGAATCAACTATACTTCAATAAAACATTTTTTAAAAGGTACAAACTTCCAGTTATAAGATAAAGAGGTACTAGGAATGTAACATGCATGCTCAGTCACTGAGTCCTGTCTGACTCTTTGAGACCCCACGGACTGCAGCCTGCCAGGCTCACTGTCTGTGGGGTTTCCCAGGCAAGAATACTGGAGTGGGTTGCCATTTCCTCCCACAGAAGAATGTAATATACAACATGATAAATATAATTAACATCACTCTATGTCATATATGAAAATTAAAAGTATAAATCCTAAGAGTTCTCACTATAAGAAATTTTCTATTTCTTTAATTTTGTGTCTAAATGAGATAATGGATGTTCACTAAACCTACTGTGATAATCATTTCCTAATGTATGTAAGTCAAATCACAATGCTATACACAAACTAATATTGTGCTATGTGACAATTATATTTCAATAAAACTGGAAGAAAAAAAAATTGTTAGAGGGACTTCCCTGGTGGTCCAGGGGTTAAGAAACTGCCTTCCAATGCAGGGGATGTGGGTTTGATTCCTGGTTGGTGGACCATTCATTGGAAGGGCCGATGCTGAAGCTGAAGCTCCAATACTTTGGCCACATGATTCAAAGAGCCAACTCACTGGAAAAGACCCTGATGCTGGGAAAGATCGAAGGCAGGAGGAGAAGGAGGTGACAGAGGATGAGATGGTTGGATGGCATCACCGACTCAATGGACATGAGTTTGAGCAAGCTCCAGGCGTTGGTGATGGACAGGAAAGCCTGGCTGCGGTCCATGGGATCACAGAGTTGGACACGACTAAGCGACTGAACTGAACTGGTGAACTAAGATCCCACATGCTGAGGGGCAACTAAGCCCATGTCCCACAACTAGAGCCCATATGGCATAAATGAAGAGCCGACACGCCACAGCAAAAACCTAGCATGGCCAAAAACTAAGACAAGTGTCAGAAGGGAACGCTGCACTCAGCCCTCCTCCCTGGGTATTTCCAATATCCATTAGCATGTTAAGGCTCTGACAAGTCCTGTGCAAGGTAGCTTGTTTAGTTTGGTTTTCAATTTTAAAAATGTGCTGCATAATAAAAAAAAAAAGTAAGATTCACGAAGAAATCATGGGATATTCATACAATGGACTACAATGGAGAAATGACATTTGCTACTTGTGACAACAAGGATTAATCTCAAAACACAACAAAATCAGTTTGTCCTCCACCCTCCAAAAAGAAAATTACTCAGTCCCATGTGTCTCATCCAGTCACTCCCTCTGTTTGGTATTTAGACAGCAGAAGATTTATTTTGAAAGTGTTAGTCTCAAAGTGTTACTCGCTCAGTCGTGTCCAATTCTTTGGTGACTCCATGGACTATAGTCTGCTACCACCTCTGTCCACAGAGTTCTCCAGGCAAGAATACTGGAGTGGGTTGCCATTTCCTTCTCCGGTGGATCTTCCCAACGCAGGGATTGAACCTGCATTTCTGGGGTCTCCTGCACTGGCAGGCGGATTCTTTACCAGCTGAGCCCCCAGGGAAGTCCAAGGTACTAATTCCTCACCAAAGAGCATCACGAGTGTGTGTGACGCTGGAACAGAGCATCTGTGGACTTGAATATGTGTAGGACTTCATCTACACAGAGGATCCACAGAGAGTGCTCGCCCATGATCCCACAGTGCTCCCCAGGCTCTCACCCTCTCTGAGCACCTCCTTCTGCTTCAGCACCCCAACGAGGGTCAGAAGACGGGGCAGGGCTGCCCAGGCGGCCACTGTGTGCTGTGCTTGGCTCCGCAGAGTCAGGACCCGGCCTCTCCTCCGTTCCTCGGAGGCCTTGAGGAAGAGCTGCACTGTGTTCTGGTCTAGCAGGGCTTTGGAAAACAGCCAGATCCTAGGAAGGAAAGTGATGGGGGCGTGGAAAACATCAGCAGCTATCTCTGCAGCAAATGGTGTTTTTCCCTTTCAAATAAGCCAGTCTGGTTGTACGAAGTATGTGCCTGAACCCCACGCTTCAGACCCATCATGGATCGCCTTACTGGGCTCTCAGCCCACAGGGATTCAGCGTAACAGAGGGCTAACATCACAGGCTCTGAGGTCAGTCAAATGTGAGACTGAATCCCAGCGCTAATGCCCACTCACTGTGCGGCCTTGCCCAAGGACATGACCTCCCTGAACCTCAGTTTCTTCTTCTGTAAAGTGGAGGAAAATGTGGAACCACTGATGCTGAACTGATATTGCTAATGAGTTATCAGTCTATGTTTTATGGTGGGGGACAAGGGGCAAAACAGTCCCAGAAGCCTGCTGTTAAACTTCCTGGAGAACTGGGGCCAGCAACGTGCCAATCATCCACATGGTTTTTTTGTTTGTTTGGGTTTTTTCTTTTCTTTTGCATGTAAGGCTTCCCAGGTGGCGCTAGTGGTAAAGAACCTGACTGCCAATGCAGGAGCTGCAGGAGACACAGTTTTGATCCCTGGATAGGGAAGATCCCCTGGAGGAGGGCATGGCAACCCACTCCAGTATTCTTGCTGGAGAATCCCACGGACAGAGGAGCCTGGTGGGCTATAATCCATGGGGATGCAAAGAGTCAGACGTGACTAAAGTGACTTAGCACACACGAGGCATGTTAAGACCTTAGTTTCCTGACTAGGAATCAGATCCATGCCCCCTACATTGGAAGTTCAGAGTCTTAACCACTGGACCACCAGGGAAGCCCCACATGGTATGTTCTTTATATGACACCATGGGAGATGCTTTCCAAGGGAGTACCAAGACCAGGGACAAAGTCAGCCATACTTTCCTTGATGCACACTCACACAGGTGTGAGAGAGTGTGTGTGTGTGTGTGTTTCCCTAAGGAAAGGCACTATTTACAAATAATGCCATTGTTTGGTTTCTCATTTTGCACTGGCTGATAGAAGCTCAGAGCCAAATCTTCAGCTCCACTCTAGAAAATGGCATGCATTTCATTTACTGATGCCACTTTGATCATCTTCCCATTTTTCCTTTCCTTCACCCTAATTTCCTCATGTATTTTTTTTTTTTTTTTGAAACCCAGAATAAGAATCAGCAAGCTATGGACCAAAACCAGCCCACCTGTATATTAAGTAAAGTTTTATAGGAACTTGGCCACTTGCATTGATTTACATGTTGTGTACGATGCTTTTGTGCTACAATAGCAGAGTACCTGCCACAGAGAGCATGTGGCCTGCAGATCCAAAAATATTTACTATCCTGTCCTTTCCTGAAAGTTTGCCAGTTGTTGACCTAGAACAATATACATTTTCATAATCTACCTCAAACCCTTTGTAGATTGGGAATAAGGCTTCCCAGTTGGCTAGGCGGTAAAGAACCTGCCTGCCAATGCAGGAGACATGGGTTCGATCCCTGGTCCAGGAAGATCTCCTGGAGGAGGAAATGGCAACTCATTCCAATATTCTTATCTGAGAAATCCCACAGACAGAGGAGCCTGGCAGGCTATAGTTCACTGGGTCATAAAAGGATCAGACATGACTTAGCAACTTAACAACAATTATGAATGCTGCTATAACTAAAAAAGAAAAAAAAATAGATCAAAGTGGAAAATTGAATGTCTCCTCCCTTCCACACCCTCAAGCCTTAAAATCAAGAATGGCACGGATGGTCCCATCCCATTCAGCGATGGTCCCCCAGAGGGCACTTCTGGGTGATGATTTCCCATCTCCCAGGACTTAGCCCTTCAACCTCAGAGGCCCCCTCCCCTCCTTGAAGCTGCCTGGGGATGGCCACCTGGCTGGGGCGACCTTGCTGGAGAGCTGCAGCTGAACAGCCCTGGGGGCTCTGAGGACCTCCTGGTGTAGGAGGACGCTCACACCCCAGCCCCGGGTGTTCCTCCGGCTGTCCTGGCTTGCACTGGCCTCCAGCAGAATCAGCTCCTCACCAGACACGTGCACAGACAGGGAGCTGTCGAGGCTGTGCTCTCTGTACTGCCGGACAGCTGCCTGCACCTGCAGAGAAAGAGGAGAGAGTTCAGAAGCAGGGGTGTTGGGGGGACTTCTCTGACGGTCTAGTAGTTAAGCATCTGCCTTGCAATGCAAGGTACATGGGTTCAATCCCTGATTGGGGAACTAAGATCCCACATGCCACAGAGCAACTTAGCGTGCGAGCCACAACTACTGAGCCCTTGCGGCTCAAGTAGAGGATCCGTGTGCTGCAATGAAAGATCTCCCGTGACACAAGGAAGATGCCGCGTGCCACAGCTAAGACCCAACACAGCCACATAATAAACAAACACATACTTTTATAAAACAGTAAAAGTGAAAGCGTCAGTCACTCAGTCACGTCCGACTCTTTGCGACCCTATAGACTATGGTCTGCCAGGTTCCTCTGTCCACGGGATTCTCCAGGCAAGAATACTGGAGTGGGAAGCTATTCCCTTCTCCAGAAGATCTTTTCAACCCAGGGATCAAACCTGGTTCCGCCTGCATTACAGGCAGATGCCTTACCATCTGAGCTACTAGGGGAACGCCTCTTTTTTAATTTTCATAAAAGAAACTATAAAAAATAAAAGCAGAGGAAGGACAGGAAGGGTCTGCAGGAGCTGGGTATGCAGGAGGGCCTCTTCTTCCAGGAAGCCTTCCCAAGTCACTCCAGCACTGAGCATCACCAAACACAGTGGACAGCAAACACTCAGGAAGAGAAATAAGACAGAGGGAAGAATAGGGGGACGCCTTCCCTGACCCCAGCTCCTTGCCCAGGAACAGAGGATCACCTTGTCCCTCCCACTACCTATGAGGTGGGATTTCTGTCTTGCAAATGGAGAAACTGAGGCTCAGAGACTCACATATTCAACTTGGGCCTGCCTGGCTCTAACTCATGTTTGTGCCTGAAAGAGGGCTGCTGGGGGGAGCAGAAGACCCCTGAGCAATTCCGTTACAGAAAAGTATGCTCCACAGTGCCCCTTGGGGCCCAGAGAACCCCTAGAAGCTCTGGAGGTCAAAGGCGAGAGTGTCTGGTGCATATGGAGGGACCACACTTGAGGTGAGTTCTCTGGTGGCTCAGAGGGTAAAGCGTCTGCCTGCAAGGCAGGAGATCTGGGTTTGATCCCTGGGTTGTGGGATCACAACCCACTCCAGTATTCTTGCCTGGAGAATCCCACGGACAGAAGAGCCTGGTGCAGACTACAGTCCATGGGGCCACAAAGAGTTGAACATGACGGAGCCACTTCACTTTCACACCTGGGGTGAGGTTGGGGCAAAGGCCTGGCCAGACCCCCCAGGGTGATGGGGGGAGGAGTAGGGTGCAAGCAGTGAGGCCCACTCTTCCACCAGCTCTGTTGGATCTGAAGCCCACTTCCTGATCTGGGCCTCGGTTCCCCCACTACAGGGTAGAAATTGGCCAGCCCAGTCTGCACGTTACAATCACTTGGGGAGCTTTTACAAGTATGCCTGGCCCCTCGCTACTTGAATTGACAGTAGTATATCTCATGCAATGCAACAGTATTCAGTGATAAAATGAAACGAGCTATTAAGCCCTGAAAAGACACAAAGGAATTGTAACGGCACATTCTAAATGAAACAAGCCAAGCTTTCACTTCAAGGCTACAAACTGAATGATTCCAACTGTATGATGTTCGGGGCGGGGTGGGGGCGGGGGGAGGTAAAACTAAAAATACAGAAAATGGTAACTGGTAGCCAGAGGGTAAGAGAGAGGGAAGGAGGAACAGAGGGATCGCAAAGGATCTTTAGGGCAGTGAAACTACTGTGTATGATACAGTGAAAGCTGATTTACGACATTATGCACTTGGCAAACCCCACAGAATGTATGGCACAAAGAGAGAACCTTAAAGTAAATGATGGACTTTAGTTCACAATGAATTAATATTGGTCCCTCCCATTCTAACAAATGTACCACAGTAATGCAAGATGTTTGGCTTATTTTTTAAACATTATCCTTTTATCTATTTATTTTTTATTTTGGCCAAGCCATGCAGCATGCAAGATCTCAGTCCCCAACCAGGGATGGAACCAGCACCCCACAGCAGTGGAAGCACAGTCTACCACTGGACCACCAGGGAAGTCCCACAAGATGTTAATAAGTGGGAAAACCGTGTATTGTGGAGAACAGGGGTCTACAAGAACTCTCTGTACTTTCTGTTCAATTTTCCTGTAAACCTAAAACTGCTCTAAAAACGGAGATTTATTAATTTTTTAAAAGAGTGCCTGGGACGCCCTAACCAATCAACTCAGCATCTCCAGGCTGCGGTCCAGGAATGTTCTATTAATAAAACTGCTCCACCTGCTTCTAATGTGCAGCTGAGGCTGGGAACTTCCAGGGGACACCATGTCTTCTCTGATTGACTCTGCGGGCCCGAGAGGTCTTGTGGAGCATGCATTCTCAACCCAAGGGGCAATATCGCTCTAAATGCATAATTGGTTCTTGTGGGGTGGGGAGGGCTGGTTAAAAAAAATAATTTCTTATATAAGGCACAGATATGCATCTGCACATAACAGAAATATAGGACATGTGTGGACTTAAATTTTCATAGAGGGGACGATTAGGGGAAAAGTGTCTAACAAGCCTCCTTGGTTGGGGATGCAATAATGAAAATTAGGCTGAGAAACATCAATGAAGAGACACCTGTGGCGGGCGGTGGGGGTGGGGAGTTTCAATAGCAGGGATGGGTTTGAGAAGGCTGGGCTCCTAACCCCCAGACCCAGCCCCATTCAATCACAGAGATAATGTGAGCAAAGGCTCCTGCTGTTTTAAAAAGTAATAATATACTCAATACTCTTAATGGCCTCTATGGGAAAAGAACATTAAAAAAGAGTAGAGATACATATATATACATGAAGTGAAAGTCGCTCAATCATGTCCAACTCTTTGTGACCCCATGGACTATACAGTCCTTGGAATTCTCCAGGCCGGAATACCGGAGTGGGTAGCTGTTCCCTTCTCCAGGGGATCTTCCCAACCCATATGTATAACTAAATCACTTTGCTATACATCTGAAGCTAACAAAACATTGTAAATCAACTATACTCTAATTTTTTTTTTTTAAGTGACAATAAAGCCTGAATCCATTAGCTGACCCAGCACCCAAGGTTCCAACAGGACCCCTCCACCTTCTCCATGAGTGCTGGAGACACACAGCGCTCCACATCCAGACTGCCTGGGTGCCCATCCAAGCCCCTCCACTTAAGGGCTCCATGACCTTGTATAGGTCACATCACCTCTCCGTGCCTCAGAGTCTCATCTGCAAAATGCCGAGACAGCAGCATTGTGAGGCATCCGTGAGATGATCCATATCAAGGGCTGAGACCAGAGCCCAGTGCACAACCAACATTCAAGAGACATCAGCTCCCGTTATAACTGACTTCGGCGATGGCACATTTTCCAATCTGACGGGTGCCATGATTTTATACACCTCGAAAGCAAAAAGGATGCTGATGAGACAATGAACCAGCGTGGGTCTGAAGACACATCCCGATTTCAGAGATACCAACACATGAGAAAACACGCCTCTGAGAGCTTCCATTCTTCAGAGCTCTTCCCGGGCTCCCCTTGAGTTGTCAAAACCCACAGGCACAGGACTGAGGCCACAGCAGGCATTTAAAAACTGCTATCGAATTCTGGTCCTCATCCCAGTGGGGGTGACCCATCTACACCTCCATCTCCCCAGCCTGCAGGCTAATTCCAGTGTACAAAGCATACTCTCAAAGCAACCAAGGTGGGGGGCTTTCTACGGAGCCGGTCCTGGGGGCACAGAGCACAGCCCTCCCACCTGCACTCCTCTCCCGGCCTCTTCCTTTCCCCGTAGAATGAAACCCTACAGGGTTTCTACCCGACACTGGGCAAAATACTCTGGGATCTGAAAAGCCTCTTCCAGATCCAACGACAGGACAGGGTTTCGAGGACAATTCTGCCTCTCTCCATTTTCAAGGGTGAAATGTGATCCTTTCACCCTCCAGGGAGCTGAAAACCCTTCTTGCCTGGACAATCACTTCCAAATGACGGATTTGGAAATCTCCTTCCCATCTGTTCTTGATTCTGCAAGGGCTGTCTGGCTAAGCTCAGCATCGTGGTGTGGCCCTCCCTCTGCTCCCCCCCAACACCCTCCAGCCTCCCTTCCTTCCGCCCCAGTTCCCAGCAAGCCGGCCGCTCGCAGACAACACTTGGCAGGTAACTGAGGTCATCCCGAAGGGACCACCATCTGTACCTGTAAGTCTGGAGGAAACGTGGGTCCACGGGGACGTCTGAGCTGGAAGGAAACCACCGAGTGGGAGTCAGATCCATTTAGCTGGACCGAGACCTGCCGGGAGGGGGAAGTGGAGAAGGGGTGAGGGGGTCAGAGGGAGCGAAGGAGTGAGATGCAGAACCCAAGACGGTGGCTGGCTGGGCAGTGAGGAGGGACAGGTCATCCCAGAGTTGTCCCAAACCCAGGCCCCACAGCAGATGCCTGAGCCACCATCCTTCCAGGACGGTTCTCAGCCTAAATCTTATGGAGACTGCCTTACTTGGAAGCTTGAGAAGTGAGGCCCCAGACACGGGGCTGAGAGGACAGCTCTCGGACAGCAGACCCCATCCTCCCCGTGCCGTGGTGTCTGCTCATGCCTCCCGTGTTCACGGCTGCCATTTATTTGACCCTGACTATGAACCAGGCACTGGGAAGCTGGTTTTACAATCCTCATCTTATTCAATCATCACCCCTGCTCTCATAGGCTGGTATTACTATCCTTCTTCTCAGGAGGAAAAACTGATGCTCAGCAAGGTTGAACAATTTACCCAAGGTCACAGAGAAAGTCCACAGTGGAGCTGGGATTTGAACTTGAAAGCTCCTTGGAGATGGGAACAGAAACACAGTCATCTGTGCAGTCCCAATATATCGCATGGAGCCTGGCATGCAGCAGAGACACTATCTATATACGGTGAATTAATGAATATATCCACAGTGGCTGCTATATATTCACCAAAATGCACTTCCTTTCCCTCTAGGACATACAGCTAAAACTACATTTCCCAGCCTCCCTTGCAGCTGGGTGGGGGGTCAGGTGATGAGTTTTCACCAATGGAATTACTTATGCGCCTGACCAGTGAAAACCTCCTGCAAAATTCTCACCCTCTTTCTCATCTAGCCAACTGGGGCAGAGCCACAGGGTGGTGGGAGCCTGGGTCCCTGCGTGACTGTGTGGAGTAGACCCACACTGAACTGTGAAATGACTGCAGAATAAACTTTCACAGTAAAGCAAATTTTTGTCACAGTGGTGCACCCTGATTCATCATATGCATGCTGCCAAAATAAAGCCTGTGCGATCAGCTTGCCAGGGCCAGCTGAGGGCCACCTCCTCAGCTGTCCCATACTGATACCCGCATGCTAACATTAAATCCCCTCCTCCCCCAGCTAGGAGGCAGAACTCAGTCTTCTGACCTGGGACGTGATGTTGTGGTTGATGGTAGCTCGTGCATCCACACCACAGTCAAATGCTCCCTCGTGCCTCTGTCTGAAGACAATGTCCCCATCCACATTCAGGGCTTGGGGAAACCTCAGCTACGAAAGAACAGACAGTACCTTTTACTCTTGCCAGCAGTCAAGCTCTGCTTAGAGATCGCCAACCAGCATTTGCCAGCCCAGGGATGGGTACCTGGAAGGAGTGAGTCACGTCCAGAGCCAGGTTATGCCAGACTTCACTGTGCTGAGATCTGTTGTGGTGCAAAGCCTTCAAGTGCAGCAAGACTTTCTGGTTGACTCTCAGAGTGGCCTCAACACCTCTGTTCTTAGCCTGTACAAGAACCAACGGCTCTGAGAGAGGGGACTCCCCGTCTCTGAGTGCCTCAGAGGCCGCCCTCGGAACCCAGCAATCAAAGTGACCCCAAGATTGATGGACGAAAGCACAGTCTACACTGCACCACTCACAGGAAAGAAAGGGGGGCAGGTGCCAGGTGGGTCTTTGATATGTGTGGCCAACTCCAGCACCCACAGGGTTAGCGGGGTAGGCTTTAGGGCCTGTCTCTCATTCACAAGGAGTGACTGCTCTAATCACTGCTGCATTTGTAACACTCAGCATGGCACCTGGTGCATAGCAGGTGCTCAAGAAATATCTAGATGAATGCAGAATCGCTAGTTGTAGTTATAGCCTGAAATCCCAAGGGCAATGCCATGCTAAGTGGAAGAATGTTTAATCCACAATGTGGCAGGCAGAAAAATACCCACCATCCCTAAAATATCCATGTGCTCAACCCTGAACTCTGGGAATCTGTTACCTTACAGGGCAAAAGAGATTTTACAATTAAGAATCTTGAGATGGGCAGATTATCCTGGATTATCCAATAAGCTAATCACAAGGATTTTTTGGTTTGTGTTGGGGTCTTTTGTTGTTGTTGTTGTTGTTTTAGTCAAACAACAAGTGAGACCTTAGTTCCCTGACCAGGTATTGAACCTGCACCCCTGCAGTGAAAACATAGAGTCTTAACCACTGGACTGCCAGGGAAGTCTCAAGGGTTCTTCTAAGAGGGAGGCAAGAGAGTCACAGTCAGAGAGAGGAAGATGCTACTCTGCTACCTTTGAAAACAGAGAAAGGCACCATGAATCAAGACACATGGGTGGTTTTTAGAAGTTAGAAAAAGCAAAGAAAAAAAAAAAGGATTCTCCCCTGGAGCTTCTAGAAAGAATGCAGTCCTGGAAACACCTTGATTTCAGTCAAGTGAAACCCATTTTTTATTTGAGATCTCAAGAAATGTAAGATAAATTTGTGTTGTGAAGCCACTAAGTTTGTGGCAATTTATTATAGCAGCAACAGGAAATACATACACAGAGTTAACCACTTATTCACTCAACAACCATTTTGCTTCTGCCACATGCTAAGTACAAGCAGCAGGCTGCCATCTTTTCCCACCTCTGCCGACTGAGAAGTTAAAAAATGTCTTGCAACCAGAATTTTATCATTGGTGAACGTCTCTAAAAGAATACACAGCTTTGTTTCAGAGCCAGGATGGAGGAGGAAGAAACAAAGGTCCAAGAGAAGTGGAAAATGTGTGTCATTAAACAAAGATAGGGTTGTAAAACCCTGGAGAAGGAAATGGCAACCCACTCCAGTGTTCTTGCCTGGAAAATCCCATGGACAGAGGAGCCTGGCGGGCTACAGTTCATGGGGTCACAAAGAGCTGGACACAACTGAGCACACAGGCTTTTAGACAGAACTGTCAAATTAAATTAAATTAAAGGATCCCCACCTACTTGGTTCTAGCCTGTTGCTGTCAGGTGAGGTTTCAGGCCCAGTGGGTCAGATCTTCCAATTTTTTATAATTAGAAGCAGAGATCTGCGTTTTATTCCAAATCTTCTGATTTAAATGTTGACACTTTTTTTCTTTACTCTAAATGCTAAGCAGGCCAAACAAAACACATCTGCAGGCTGGATTTGGCCCATTCGCCATTTTGCAATCTCCGGTTTAGAAAACAGGACACACCACCGGGAAACATTTGCGCAGGTGTTCTAGGTCGTCATCCCACCCATGGTTCCCCCTCAGGACCTCCAAGGACTTCAGTTCCCAAACCTGGGGGCTGCTCACAGCCCAGTTTGACAGGCAGGGAAGTGAGGCCCCAGAAACACAGGTCTCTCTCCATGTACAGCAGCTGGCCCAGCTCCAGCCCCAGACCTGTGGATATCCCCAAGGGAGAAACCACCACTGTCTTCCTTCTCCAGGGCCCAGCACACAGCAGGTGCTCAATACATGCTTGCTGGAGAATGGGATCATCTCCTGGAGCATCTTTTCCTAGAGGGGTCAGGAAGGAGACTCAGATGAGGGCCCATAGTCATGTCATAAGTACTCAAGATTGTACCCAAGTACAATCTTGGAAGGACTGATGCTGCAGCTGAAACTCCAATACTTTGGCCACCTGATGCAAAAAGCTGACTCACTAAAAAAAGATGCTGATGCTGGGAAATACTGAAGGCAAAAGGAAAAGGGGGTGATAGAGGATGAGATGGTTGGATGGCATCACTGACTCAATGGACATGAGTTTGAGCAAACTCCAGGAGACAGTGAAGGACAGAGGAGCCTGGCGTGCTGCAGTCCATGGGGTCACAAACAGTCAGACATGACTTAGCAACTGCACAACAAGTACTCGAGAAAGATCACTGTACTCCATTTCGATCCTCACAGCAACTGCATAAGAGATGAGGATTGCTGTCTCCACTGCACAGAAGAGGAAACTGAGATCCAGAGACACCAGATGATTTGCTAAGGGCACAGAGGCAAAAAATGAGTTTCACTCCTAGAAGACAAATGCCAAGACCCTCTAAGTCAGGGGTTAAAAACTACAAACTGGAAAAACAACAACAACAAAAAAAACTGGCCAGCCTGTTTTTGCAAATCAAGTTGTTTAGGCTGCTGTAACAGAAATAGCACAGACTGCGTGACTCAAACACCAGAAATTTTACATCCCACAGTTCTGGAGGCTGGAAGTCCAAAACCAAGGTGCCAGCATGGATGGGTTTTAGTGAGAAACCTCTTGCTGGTTTGCAGATGGCTACCTTCTCATTGTGTCCTCAGGTGGTGGAGAGAAAGCTCAGCTCTGATCCTCTTTTGGGGAGGACAGTAATCTTATCATTAAGATTAATTACTTCATGGCAAATAGATGGGGAAAAAAATGGAAACAGTGACAGACTTTATTTTCTTGGGCTCCAAAATCACTGCACACAGCGACTACAGCCATAAAATTAAAAGATGTTAGCTCCTTGGAAGAAAAGCTGTATGACAAACCTAGACAGTGTATTAAAAAGCAGAGGCATCACTTTACCGACAAAGGTCTGTATAGTTAAAGGTATGGTTTTCCCAGTAGTCATGTACGGATGTGAGAGTCAGACCACAAAGAAGGCTGAGAATAAAAGAATTGATGCTTTCGAACTGTGGTGCTAGAGAAGACTCTTGAGGGTCTCTTGGACTGCAAGTAGATCAAACCAGTCCATCTTAGAAATCAAACCTGAATATCCATTGGAAGGACTGATGCTGAAGCTCCAATACTTTGGCCACCTGATGCAAAGAGCCGACTCATTGGAAAAACCCTGATGCTGGGAAAGATTGAAGGCAGGAGGAGAAGGGGGGGCAACAGAGGATGAGACAGCTGGATGGCATCACCAACTCAACAGAGATGAGACTGAGCAAACTCTGGGAGATAGTGAAGGACAGGGAAACTTGGTCAGCTGCAGTCCATGGGATGGCAAAGAGTCGGACATGACTGAGCGCTGAGCAACTGAACAACAATCTTATCATAAGGGCTCCACCCTCATGACCTAATCAACCCAAAGCCTGCACTTCCAAATCACATTAGAGCTTCAACATGTGAATCTGGGGAGGGGAGTGGGTACACAAACATTCAGCCCACAACAAAAGTTTTATGGGCACACCGTTGTGCCCATTCATTGGTGTGTTTCCTACAATGTTTGTGAGCTGCGAAGGCAGAGGTGAGTAGTTGCAATGCTGACTGTATGACCTGCAAAGGCTACAACAGTTACCATCTGGTCCTTCAGGGAAAAACTTGATCAACCCCGGCTCTACATTAGGTATTTAATGCATTTTCTTTCTTTTTTTTAATTTTGGTCGCACCACGAAGCCTGTGAACTTCCCCAACCAGGGATTGAACCTGTGTCCCCTCTGGAAGCACACAGTCTTAACCACTGGACCGCCAGGGGAGTCCTAGAATGCACTTTTGATAGCACTGGGCCAACAGCTACTCATTTAGCACTGACTGTGCGCCAGGCCTTGCGGCTCTCAGGATGAAAAAGCAGACACATCCTGATCACGGTCTCGGACTAGCACAGGGTCCGGGCTGGGGTCTCTCTCCCAAGAGAAGAGGTGAGGGTTTTTAAGTAAGGGGGCGACAATGACTATGCTGGTGTGTTGCAAAACTCCCTTGGGTTGTCAAGTAGCTTGAATTAGGCAGACAGTGGAACAGAAAACTCAGGCTGGAATTCTCCGTTTGCTTCGTCCAGTTGAGAGATGATGGCAACCTGAACCGGGGACCACTGGGGTGTAAAGAGCTCTGGGATCCTCACTTACCAGGTGCCGATTCCACGAAACCACGCACCCGTCCAAGCTCCTGGGGATGGCCCTGTCGTCATACGGGTGGGTCAGGCCTGCGCAGACCTGGGAGGGACAACCACACACACACACAGATGGGTCAGAGGCAGGTGGAAGCCCCTCCCCGTTGAATGCTGGAGCCCACTCACATAGGGGTGCCCGGCCTGGTAGCCCAGGACCACGGTCTGCAGGGTCTCCTCCTGGGCATCCAGGACCACCCTGGTCTCCAGGGAGTAACGCTGGTGCTGCTGGTCAGCCGTGAAGGTCTCCTGCAGGAGGATGCGCTGCGGGAGGGCCACGGTCCAGGGGTGCCTGGCGTGAGAGGGGGGACAGGCCGAAGCCATTAAAGCAGCTGGCAGGGTTAGAGGACACCTGTGCCCCAGGGGCCTGTCACCGTCTTGCAGAGTTAAGACTTTGTTACAGGGGACTAGCCTGGTGGTCCAGTGGTTAAGAGTCCACCTTCCAATGCATGGGATATGGGTTTGGTCCCTGGGTCAGAGAACTAAGATCCCACAGGCCACGTAGCAACTAGGCCCTCACATTCCAGCTACTGAGCCCATGTCACAACTAGAGAGAAGCTTGAGTGACACAACCAGAGAAGCCTGCAAACTGCAGCAAAGATCCTGTGTGCCTCAGCTAAGACCTGATGAGGCCAAATAAATATTTTTCTCAAAAAGACTTTGTCTATGTGCGTGTGTGCGAAGTCCCTTCAGTCGTGTCTGACTCTCTGCAACTCTATGGACCATGGCCCGCCAGGCTCCTCTGTCCATGGGATTCTCCAGGCAAGAATACTGGAGTGGGTTGCCATTTCCCTTCTCCGGGGGATCTTCCGGACCCAGGGATGGAACCCAGGTCTCCTGCATCTCCCGCGCTGCAGGCAGATTCTTTACCATCTGAGCCACCAGGGAAGCCCTGGCACATAGTGGGTGCTCAACAAATATAAATGAGATTAAAAAACGGATGAGACCTTGGCAAATGCAGCGGCTGCTGGCTTTGGGTTACTGCTGCTGTTCTGACAGTAGATGGCTAAGGGCCCCCAGCTAGTCAATGCACAGCCTGGACTTCAGGCTGGGTCTGCTGACTTCAAGCCTGTGCTGTTCACCCCCCAACAAGGAACAGGCTTTTTAACCAGCTGTGCCTCCAGGAACTGAAATGGGTCCCCCAGAGCAGCTTTCAGCCTAGGGTGAGGAGACTGTTTTCTGTGCCACCTTGGCACACCAGTGAAGCGGGTGAGGGACGTGGGGGCTTTCAGGGAGGGGGCTCGACTCTGAGCTCCGGGGTCTGTCTGGGCCCCTCCAGGCAGCATGGCGCACCCCACTCCCTGGTGAGTCTCCACACTGGAGAACAGGTGACCGGGGCAGGCACCACACCTCGGGGGAAGCAGCCTGGGGGGAGGGGCCACACATACCGAAGGGAGAAGGTCCCCTGCTTCCGGTACAAGCTCCTGTCTCGAACCAGCTCCTCCAGTATGCCCTCCAGCTGCAGGCCCTCAGGATGGCCCCTGGCACTGGTCCCCAGAGCCGTCAGCGATACTTGACTCTTCCGTGGCTGCAATGAGATCAGGCTGATGCGGAGGGATGCCCGGAGGGTCCAAGCTGCTGAACATCCTGCCCTGGGGGTCCTCAGGGGCAGCCCCACTCATCACCCCAGGAATGACCACCAGAAAGGGCTGATCAAATGGGCTGCAGCCTCCACACCATCAGACCTCAAGGTTGCACAGGCACACCTCTATGGCAAGACCTCTCCAGGTGCCCAGCAGGAATGAAGCACTTGGATGTCCAGTACCAGGTGGCCGACCTTTGCTCTGGGGTCAGCGCTAGTATGGCTGGGATCCATTTTATAGATAAAGAAACTGAGGCTCGGGGAGGCTTCTAGGCCAAACTAGTAGCTTTCCCCATCCCAGATATGGGATTCAGGGTCTCTCAATGGCAAAGTCTCCAGCACAGGCCACCTGGACCCTTACCTGCTCCATGTGCCTGTAGGCGGCTGTTAGGTTCAGCTCCCGCTGGGGGCCCTTCAACCAGCAGCGCAGGCTCTTAAGGTCTCGGCTGTTCTCAGCATGAATCTCGCTCTGCACCGCTGCGCTCCAGGCTGATTCTATTTCACTCCGGCTGCTAAAGAGGCTCTGTGTCAAGGCTGTCACCGTGGAAACCTGCAATGAGGATGAAGAGGCTGACCAAAGCCTTTGCACACCCTATTTCCTCCTCTTGGGATTCCCTTTATCCCAGTCCCACTTGGTGAGCTCCTACTCATCCTTCAAAACCCCTCCAATGCCACCCTGGTGCCCCCTGGCCCCTGCCTCGAGGGGACTGTGCTGTCCCGAGACGTGCCCACTGAGCTGCCTCCTTCTGAGCCCAAGTCAGGCCTGGACCACGCCTCCCCCATGTCCACTCATCATCCCAACACAGGGAGACGCTTGATGTACCAGGTTCCCACGTGTGACATCACGGAAGTCCTCTGGTTGCTTTCCTTCCAAACTCTGCTATGCTGCTTCACTCGGCAGGTGGTATAAAACTGACCCCCATCCTCAAAGTTTTCATTCTGCATTTTGGCAAAAGCCTCCTGTCTATTTTTTTCTAAGGTACCAGCTCAACCTACTTTCATATTTTACTGTCTCAGCTGCTAAGCAAGAACATGAGACACTGAGGTTTATTTTGGGGTGCATTCTCCCAAATTCCCTTGGCATCTAACTCTGCGGAGTGTCAATACTGAGTGAGCCAGACTTCACACATCTGGGACCCGGTATGCAAAACCCCCGAACCTTGGTTTTTAACCCTTTGCTCAGAAGATTTAAACGGCAAGAAATCAGGCTCCCTGGCCGCTGATGAGCAGGGTGGGCAGAGGGCGTGGCTGAGCATGCGCACCCGGAGGTAGGTGGTCGCTGGAGTGTAGACGTGGATCTTGCCATCCCTCTGGAGGCCCTGGCCCCTGCAGGCCACGTTTATCACCAGATTCTTGAGGGTCCAGGCCTTGCCCAGCGTCAGCTCCAACACAGCCTGGAACGTGGCTCGGTTAGGCCAATACAGCCTGTGAGCCGTGGAGACCATCAGCCAGGGACTATTCAGGTTCAAGGCTCCTGCAACAGGCAGAGAACAAGAAACTAGTTATCCCCAGGGCAAGAAGGGGACTTTTGGCAGGCAGCAAGAGACCCCTGTAGAGTCATCATGGTCACTGCAGGGCACATCTCATAACTGGGAATGACTGGGGATAGAACCTAAGGGAACCTTCTAGAATGACTCTAATGTTCTGAACTTTGACAGGGGCTTGAGTTTCACAGATTTGTGCACCTGTCAAAACTCATCAAATGGTACCTGGGAGATGTGGGCATTTCACCTTAGTGAATGATACCATACTGAAATGTTTAGGGGTGAGATGTACCATGGTTTACAACTTAATTTGACCTGTACCAACAAATAAGACAGATGGCTAACTGGACAGATCGGTGACAAGATAGGTGGAGTAAAATGTTAGTAGCAGAATCCACATTGAGAATATGTAGGTGCTCACTGCACCACTCTTTGCACTTTTCTGAAATGTTTTCAGTACGATATGTTAGACAGAAGAAACGCTAGGAAAGTTGGAGAGCAGGGCACTGGAGTGAGATGATCAAGAGCATGGCCTTAACTCTTGCAAGCTATGTGACCTCTTTGAGCCTGTGCTTCCATCATCTGTAAAATGGGTACAATAGTACCAATCACAGTGTCTTGGGACAGAGGAAGCATCCACTCAGAAGAGTAAAGATCAATCATCACCATCATCAGAAAGTTGACATTCTACATAGCATGTTGCCCTTCCACGAGGAACTAAAACCAGTCACTAGACCCCTCCCATATTTTGTAATAAATCTCCCACTTGCTCAAGGGCTAATTCAGTAAATATTGCTCCAGACTCTCGGAACTTGGCAGTGAACAGGAGGCATAGTTGCTGCCTTGATGGAACTCGTGGTCTGGGGGCAGCGGTGAGGGAGAAATCTTGAACAAATAAACATAATGAAACCTGTACTATGCTGGCCTTAGTTGCTCAGTCATGTCCAATTCTTTGCAACCCCATGGACTATAGCCTGCCAGGCTCCTCTGTCCATGGGATTCTCCAGGCAAGAATGCTGGAGTGGGTTGCCCAGCCCTCCTCCAGGGGATCTTCCCAACCCAGGGATCGAACCCAGGTCTCTCTCTGAGCCACCAGGGAAGACCTACCTAGGTAGAAAATGCTGAGTGCTAGGAAGGAAAAGAAAGAGGGAGTTGGATCAAGGTCAGGAGGGTCAGTGAAGACTCCCATGGACAGGACCATTGAGCTCAACCCTGAATGAGGAGCAGTGGAGTCTGTCAAAGGGAGGGAGCGCTCCCCCACCTCCTAGTGGAGATAGGAGACTCACTACGTGGGGAAACTGAGGCTGAGAGGCCAGGATTCAGGGCGACCCAGCACAGCAAGGGTAGAGGGCGAGCTGCCAAGTTGAGAACAGGGAGATATCGAGTAGAGTGTATTCAGGTGCCCTGACCTGAGGTACCAGTTCCGCAGGAGATGGGGAGATTGCTCCACGGAAGAATAGAGTGACTGAAAAAGAAAAAAGGTCCACAGATATGGGGCCCAGGGTCCTCAGGGAGAGCCAGGACCCCACCCAACAGGAAAGTCCATCAGTCAACAAGAGCACCCCGACTCATACATACATGCATATACACACACACACACACACACAATATGAAATACTACTCGGCCATGAAAAAGAACAGAATAATTCCATTTGCAGAAACATGAATGCAACTAGAGATTATCATCCTAAATGAAGCAAGTGAGAAATACAAATACCATGTAATATTACTTAGACATGAAATCTAAAATATGACACAAATGAACTGATCTATGAAAAAGACTCATAGAGAACAGACTTATAGTTGACAAGGAGGGGGAGTAGGGGAGGGATGGAGTGGGAGTTTGGGATTAACAGATGGAAACTATTATATATGGAATGGATAAACAACAAGGTCCTACTGGATAGCACAGGGAATAATATTCAATATCCTATGATAAGACATAATGGAAAAGAATAGGAAAAAAGTATATATATAATGGAATCACTTTGCTGCATAGCATTGATTAATAGAACATTGTAACTCAACTATACTTCAACAAAATAATTTTTTTTTAAAGAGCACACACACCCTCCCCCTCCCATACAGCCTCCTTCCAAACCAGTTCCAAGTTAGTGACTCTTAAACAAAAGCACATAGCCTACTCTTACCTGGCATGTGGGGAAAGCAACTAAAAGGAACTTAAGAAACAAAAAGAAAAAAGAAACTCAGGGAGAACAGATCAAAGTCCCCCAATTCTATAACTTACGTTCATAGAGAAGAGAAGATAATGCATTTATGCAGAACTTGCAGGAACACAAAAGAGCTCTTGGGAACACAAGCTAGACAAAACTAAAAATGCCAGTAGGAGGGCCAGTGGATGAAGCTGGGGAAGTCAGCCCTCAAAACAGAACAAAAGGACAAAGAGATGGAACAATGGAGAGGAGAGAGAAAATCAGAGGTTTAGTTTCTGAGGACCAACATCTATCGGACCAACAGCAATTCCAGAACACAGAAAGAAATTACCAAAGAAACTGTGCAAGAAAACTACCAAGCCCCAGACGGTGGGTCTCCACATTGCAAGGTTATATGCCACGTGCTTAGTACAGCGAATGGAGAGAGATCCAAATCAAGGCTCATCATCGCAAGATTTAAAGATACGAGGGATAAGGGCTTCCCTCATAGCTCAGTTGGTGAAGAATCTGCCTGCAATGCAGGAGACCCTGGTTCGATTCCTGGGTCAGGAAGATCCACTGGAGAAGGGAAAGGCTACCCACTCCAGTATTCTGACCTGGAGAATTCCACGGACTGTATAGTCCATGGGGTGGCAAAGAGTCGGACATGACTGAGAGACTCTCACTTTCAGGAATAAAGAGAAGCTCCTAAAAGCTTCCAGAGAGAGACAAAAGGGTCACAGACAAAGGATGATGGATCAGAAATAGCACCAGACCTCTCAACTGATTCACACAGACAGTGGAGCAATGTCTTCACAATCCCAATGGGAAATCATTTCCAACTTAAGAGTTCTCTACTCAGCCAAATCAAATGAAGACAGTTTAAACATTCAGGGTTTCAAAATGTTTACATCCTGTTACAGGTTGAATTGTGTCTCTCAAATAGATATGTAGTCCTAACCCCTGGTACCTCAAAATGTGACCTTATTTGGGAATGGGGTCATTGCAGATAAAATTAGTTAAGATGAGGTCATACCAGAGTCCCAGGTGGCTCAGTGATGTTGGGAAGATCCCCTGAAGGAGGAAATGGCACCCCACTGCAGTATCCTTGCCTGAAAAATCCCATGGGCAGAGGAGCCTGGTGGGCTACAGTCCATGGGGTCACCAAGAGTTGGACACACGGAACACGCACAGACACTTAGCGGAGAAGCGGGGGCCTTAAGTCTGATAGGATTGTACCAATCTCTTTATATTGAGAGAAGTTTGGACACACACACACAGAACCGTGTAACAACAGAGGCAGAGACTCTTGTTGCTGTTGAGTTGCTAAGTCATGTCCAACTCTTTGCAACCCTATGGACTGTAGCCCACCAGGCTCCTCTATCCATGGGATTTTTCAGGCAAGAATACTGCAGTGGGTTGCCATTTCCTTCTCCAGGCGATCTTCCCAACCCACAGATCAAACTTGTGTCTCCTGCAGGCAGAGATTAGAGCAATGTAACTCTAATGTAACTCAATGTACCAACCAAGGAACATCAAGCATTAATAGCCACCACCAGAAGCTAGGAAGAGACAGGAAGGATTCTACCCAGGGTCACAGAGAGAACATGGCCCTACTGACGCCTCACCTTCACAATTCTAGTCTTGGAGACTGTAAGAGAATAAATTTGTTGTTTTAAGCCGCCCAGCTTGTGGTAATTGGTTAACACAGCCCTAGCTAACAAATACACTTTCCATGTATCCTCTCTCAAGAAGCTACTGGAGGATGTGCTCCATTGGAACAAAAGAGCAAAGCAAGAAAGAACATGAGCGCAAGAAGCAGGGACTGTGGCCCAGAGAAGTGGAAGGCACTCCGTGAATGATGGTGAGGGGATGCCCCAGGACACAGGTGGTCTACCCTGGAGCAGCAGTGGCTCCAGGAAGAGTGTCGACAAGAAAACTAGGAGAACTGATCGAAGCTGACAAGTAATCTGAAGTGTGTGACCCTCTGGAGAAGAGTTTTGCAGCGTTGCTAAAAATTCTAGGAATAATCATAGGAGGAAAATAGAAAATTAATCAAACAGGGGGGAAAGGCTATTATAGCTCCAGGAAAAACAAAAAGTTAGAATTCTAGTATACCACATGTCTCAGCTGTGAGGGACACAATTATATCAATGCTGAATATTAACAAACTATAACTCTTGGGGGAAGAGAGGGAAATACATATTTTAAAAGGGATGGTGCAGGTTAAATTCTCATCCTCTATCATAAGAAATACATGGAGAATAAAAATGCCTGAGAGAAAAATCAAGAAGTAAGTGTTATTAAAAGATGGAGGGTCTGATAAGAAATCATAAAAAGAATTTACAGTGCTTGCCATTTCAAGCAAAATTTGGGATAGGAAGACATGAAGCAGAAAATTACTGTGTTTGTTATAACTTTAACTTTTAAAACTTTAAAAAATTTTTCAAGTACATACATGAATTCAGAGACTATGAAGAGATTCCCATGTAACGTTCACCCACCTTAAACAATTTCCATGTCATAGTCTAATTCACTTTTCAAACTATGTATTTCTTCAATAAAAAAATAAAAATTAATTCAAAGATAAACTATGGTACATCCATCTTTATAAATGAGAGACAGTGTTCCAAGGAGAAGAAATAGCAAGTGCAAAGGCCCTGAGGTACGTCTGGGGAACAGAACAGAGGCCAGTAGGGTTGCAGGATGATGGGCAATGGGGAAAGTAGGGTGAGATGAGGTTGGAGAAGTAGGCAAGGGCTTGTAATGTAGAGCTCTCCTGGTAAGGGTAAGAAATCAGGATGTGTTTGTGTGTTTCCTGCAACACATTAAAGGCCTGAGCCTTGAGATAGCCAGGCAGACAGCAGGGAAGGGTGCTGCAGACGGTGGGCAGGGCTTGCGTGAAGACCATGAGCCAAGGACACTGCACAGATGTCACTCACCTTCCCACCTCCACAGGGCAGCCCGGGACGTGTCCTTCCACTGCAGGCCCGCCACGAAGGGCAGCCGCCCGTTGTACTGCACCTTCAGGTGTGCGCTGGTCTCCACGTGGGGGTGGCGGAGGCTCAGGTGGTGCAGCTGCATTCGGTAATCCACCTGCCTCTCCAGCACCTGCAGCACAAACTGGAGACCCACACCCACGATGCTCACCAGACCCGGTGCTAACTACGATGCTGCTTCCAGCCTACAACATTCCACTGGCTCTCCACTGCAGCCTGAGCCCGCTGGCTACCAGGAACTGCCCCAGCCCACGCCCAGAAGAAACCCTGCACCCATCAGCAGTCACTCCCCATTGCCTCCTTCCCATCCACTCCAGAAACCTACTGTTTCTATTAATTTACCTCTTCTAGACATGTCTTACAAATAGAATCATATAGTATGTGGCCTTTGGTGTCAGGCTTCTTTAACACGGCATGATGCTTTCAAGGTTCATCCACATTGTAGCATGTGTCACAATTTCATTTCTTTCTTTTTAAATTCTATTTATTTTAATTGGAGGATAATAATTACTTTACAATGTTATGTTGGTTTGTTGTATATCAACATGAATCAGCCATAGATATACATATATCTCCTCTCCCTTGAAACTTCCTCCCACCTCCAAATCCATCCCACCCCAGAACTTCATTCTTATTACTGAATAATATTCTATTGTATGGATAAATATATTTTATTTGTCAACTTATTCATTGATGAACATTTGGGTTGTTTCTACTCTGGGGTTATTATGAATAAAGCTGCTATAAAGGTTCATGTACAAGTTTTGTGTGGACATAAGTTTTCAATTCTCCTGAGTACCTAGGAGTAGAATTGTTGGGTCATACGGTAACGCTGTGCTTAATATCTTAAAGAAATATAAAACTCTTTTTTCTAAACAATCACACCATTTTATGATGCCACCAATATGAGTCCTGATTTCCCTGTATCCTCATGAACACTTGTTTCTTTCTTTTTTCATTTCAGCTATTCTAGTGGTGGGCTTCCCAGGTGATACTAGTGGTAAAAGAATCCAGCTGCCAATGCAGAAGACTCAAGAGACATGGGTTCGATGCCTGGGTCGAGAAGATCCCCTGGAGTAGGAAACAGCAACCCACTCCAGTATTCTTGCCCGGAAAATTCCATGGACAGAGGAGCTACACTCCATGGGCTAAAAAGAGTCAGACACAACTGAGCAACTGAGTACCGCCTGCTAGTGGTAGCATCTCACTGTGGTTTTGATTTAAATTTCTCTAATGACTAATTAGCTTAAGCAACTTTTCACATATCTACTGGCCACTTGTGTACCTTCTTTGGAGAAATATCTACTCAAATCCTTTGTCATTTTCATGTTGAGTTGTAAGTGTTCTTTATATATTCTGGATACAAATCCTCTATCAGATATGATTTGCAGATGTTTTTCTTCCATCATGTGGGTTGTGACTTCACTTTCGTGATGGTGTCCTTTGAAGACAAATTTGGGTTTTTTTTTTCCTGTTGTTTTTTAAATTTTTATTTACTTATTTTTGACTGCACTGGGTCTTTGTTATAGCCTATGGGCCTCTCTAGCTGTGGCATGTGGGCTTAGTTGCCCTGTGGCAAATGGGATCTTATTTCCCTGATCAGGGATTGAACCCCCATCCCCTGCATTAAAAGGTGGTTTCTTAACCACTGGACCTTCAAGGAAGTGCCAGGTTTTTAAGTTTGATGAAATTCAGTGTATTTTTGTTGTTATACTTTCCACTGTCGTATCTCAGAAACCCAAGGTCATAAAGATTTCCTTGTATGTTTTCTTCTAAGAGTTCCATGTTTCTTAAATTTAGGCCTATAACCTATTTTGAGTTAGTTTTTATATATGATATGAATTGTCCAACTTCATATTCTTAAACATGAATATTCAGTTGTCCCACATCCTTTGTTGAAAAGATTGTTCTTTCCCTTCTATAATTACCTTGGCACCCTTGTTGAAGATCAACTAACTGTAAGTACAAGGGCTTATTTTTAATTCTGGGTTCTATTCTGTTGGTCTGTTTGTCTATCCTTATGCCACTACCATAATACTCTTAATTACTGTAACTTTGTAGTAAGTTTTGAAATTGGGAAGAGTGAATCCTTCAAGTTTGTTCTTTTTCAAGACTGTCGTACCTACCCTGGGTCCCTTGAAATTCCATATGAATTTTAGGACCAGCTATCAAAAAGATAGTGCAGATTTTGATAGGGAGAGATAGAGATGGTTGAATCTGCAGATCAATTTAGGAAGTCTTGTAAACTTCACATTAAATATTCTAATTCAAGCACATGAGATACCCTCCCACTTATTTGGGTTTTCTTTAGTTTCTTTTTTTAATTTATTTAATTGGAGGCTAATTACTTTACAATATTGTGGTGGTTCTTGCCATATATTCACATGAATCAGCCATGGGTGTACATGTGTCCCCATCCTGACCCCCCTCTTACCTTCCTCCCCCTTTCTTTAGTTTCTTTCAAAAATGTTTTGTAGTTTTTGAAAGTATTCATTTTATATTCTTTTGTTAAGTTTACTCCTAAGTATTATTCTTTTTATGCTAGTGTAAATGAAATTATTTTAATTTCTTTTTCAGGTTTTTCATTGCTAGTGTAGAGAAATACAACTAATTTTTGTATATTAATTCTGTATCCTGCAACTTTGATGAACTCATTTATGAGCTCTAATAGATTTTTTTTTTTTTTTTGGTGAGTTCATTCAGTTCATTCACTCAGTTGTGTCCGATTCTGTGCGACCCCATGGACTGCAGCACACCAGGCTTCCCTGTCCATCACCAACTCCCAGAGCTTACTCAAACTCAGGTCCAGGGAGTCAGTGACGCCATCCAACCATCCCATCCTCTGTCATCCCCTTCTCCTCCTGCCTTCAGTCTTTCCCAGCATCAGGGTCTTTTCTAGTGAGTCAGCTCTTCGCATCAGGTGGCCAAAGTACTGGAGTTTCAGCTTCAGCATCAGTCCTTCCAATGAATACCCAGGACTGATTTCCTTTAGGATGGACTGGTTGTATTTCCTCACAGTCCAAGAGACTCCCAAGAGTCTTCTCCAACACCACAGTTCAAAAGCATCAATTCTTCAGCACTCATCTTTCTTTGTAGTCCAACTCTCACATCCATACATGACTACTGGAAAAACCACAGCTTTGACTAGATGGACCTTTGTTGGCAAAGTAATGTCTCTGCTTTTTAATATGCTGTCTAAGTTGATCATAGCTTTCTTTCCAAGGAGCAAGCAACTTTTAATTTCATGGCTGCAGTCACCATCTGCAGTGATTCTGAAGTCCCCCCAAAATAAAGTCTGTCACTGTTTCCATTATTTCCCCATCTATTTGCCATGAAGTGAGGGGACCAGATGCCATGATCTTAGTTTTCTGAATGCTGAGTTTTAAGCCAACTTTTTCACTCTCCTCTTTCACTTTCATCAAGAGGCTCTTTAGTTCTTCTTTGCCTTCTGCCATAAGGGTGGTGTCATCTGCATATCTGAGGTTGTTGGTATTTCTCCCGGCAATCGATTCCAGCTTGTGCTTCATCCAGCCCAGCATTTCACATGATGTACTCTGAATAAACGTTAAATAAGCACGGTGACAATATGCAGCCTTGACGTACTCCTTTCCCGATTTGAAACCAGTTTGTTGTTCCATGTCCAGTCCTAATTGTTGCTTCTTGACCGGCATACAGATTTCTCAGGAGGCAGGTCAGGTGGTCTGGTATTCTTCTCTCTTTAAGAATTTTCCACAGTTTGTTGTGATCCACACAGTCAAAGGCTTTGGCATAATCAATAAAGCAGAAGTAGATGGTTTTCTGGAACTCTTTTGCTTTTTCTATGATCCAATGGAGGTGGCGATTTGATCTCTGGTTCCTCTGCCTTTTCTAAATCCAACTTGAACATCTGGAAATTCACGGTTCACGTACTGTTGAAGCCTGGCTTGGAGAATTTTGAGCACTACTTTACTAGTGTGTGAGATGAGTGCAATTGTGCAGTGGTTTGAACATTCTTTAGCATTGCCTTTCTTTGGGATTGGAATGAAAGTTGACCCTTTCCAGTCCTGTGGCCACTACTGAGTTTTCCAAATTTGCTGGCATAATTGAGTGCAGCACTTTCACAGCATCATCTTTTAGGATTTGAAATAGCTCAACTGGAATTCCATCATCTCCACTAGCTTGGTCATCGTGATGCTTCCTAAGGACCACTTGACTTCACATTCCATGATGTCTGGCTCTAGGTGAGTGATCACACCATTGTGATTATCTGGGTTGTGAAGATCTTTTTTGTACAGTTCTTCTGTGGATTCTTGCCACCTCTTCTTAATATCTTCTGCTTCTGTTAGGTCCATACCATTTCTGTCTTTTATTGTGCCCATCTTTGCATGAAATGTTCCTTTGGTATCTCTAATTTTTTTTGAAGAAATCTCGTCTTTCCCATTGTTTTGATTTCCTCTATTTCTTTGCATTGATCACTGAGGAAGGTGAGTTCATTAGAGTCTTCTATTAATATATACAAGATTGGGCTTCCCAGGAGGTGCTAGTGATAAAGAATCCGCCTGCCAATGCAGAAGACACAAGAGACATGGGCTCGATCCCTGGATAGGGAAGATCCCCTGGAGAAGGAAATGGCAACCCACTCTAGTATTCTTGCCTGGAAAATTCCAGGGACAGAGGAGCCTGGTGGGCTACAGTTCACGGGGTTGCAGAGTCAGGCATTACTGAGTAACTGACTACAACACATATACAAGATCATGTCATCTGTAAATAGAAATAATTTTACTTATTTTCCAATCTAAATGCCTTTTCTTTACTCCTTTTTTCTATTTCTTTTTTGCCTAAATGTCCTAGCTAGAACCTCCAGTATAATGTTAAATAGAAGTAGTGAAAAGCAGACGTCTTATCCTTTCCCTGATCTTAGGGGGAAAGCATTTAGCCTCTTACCATAAAGTATGATGTTAGCTGTGGGTTTGTCACAAATGGCCTTTATCAGGTTGAGGAAGTGCCTTTCCACTGCTAGACTGCTGGGGTGTTGTGCCAGATACTTTTCTGCATCTTTTGAAATGACCCTGTGGCTTTTGTCCTTCATTCTATTAATATGATACGTTACATTGATGGATATTCAAATGTTAAACCAATCTTGCATTCCTGGGATAAATCTTACTTGGTCATATTGTGTAATCCTTTTTATAGATTGCTCAGTGGAGTTTTGGTAGTGTTTTCTTGAGGATTTTGCATCTGTATTTATAAGAGATAATGGTCTCTAGTTTTTCTTATGATGTTTTTGTCTCATTTGGGCATCAGAATAATACTGGTTGCATAGAATAAACTGGGAAGTGTTTTCTCTTGACTGATCATTTAGTCAATTATTTTATAGTAAATTAGAAACAACAATTTATTATTTATTATAAATTAAATTATAAATTTAGATTATAAATTATTTATTATATTATCTGGCACAATCCGGTCATCAAGAGGTGAAAAGCCTGAGGCAGACTGGACTTTGAAACCCAGTTCTGCCATAACGTAGCTGAGAGACCTCAAACAAGTCTGTTTACATCATTTCTCTTCTATAAAGTGAGAACAGATGATACTTGCCGCACAAGGATTAAATGAGATAATACAAACAAAGCACCTGACACATGGTCTTGTGATACTTTATCACTCATCACTGACCACTCTGCCTTTCCCTCTTCTACTCACTATCAGCTTCTTAAAGATAGATTATCTTACTGATTCTTGTCTCCCCAGAACCTAACATGGCATCTGCCACACTTTTGAAGGCTTGCAGAAATGTTGCCACAAATCTCTTAATCACGTCACTAAAACCCTGGGGGCCAGATGTTTTCCAGAAATAAGAAACTTTCCAATTTAGAACATTAATATGATGTATAAACTGCAATTATATATTGAACTCCTACCAACCAAAAGCCAAGTATACTAATTTTTTCCAAGTGTCAAACAATATGAAAAATCAGTTCACAGAAAGGGTAATGCAATGGTAGAATAAATACACAAAACAGTGTCTCTCAGCCTTAAGTCATCAGGAAATGCAAATTCAAACAACATGATATGATTTCCACCCATGTTAGCAATATTTTTCAAGTGCAAAAGTACTGGGGAGAATATGGAAATTGTTCCTGTTGGACACGGCTGGGAGGCAGGTGGTGGGTCTAGACATTTTGGAGGGCAAATTGACATAAAGTCAGCAAATGAAAAATGCCCAAATTTCCAGAAATTCTACATTGTGACATCTGTCCCAGAGACCCCCCTGACACAGGTGCCCAGGGAGGCAAGCCCAAAGATGTTCAGGAATGCACTCTTAGAAACTACCAAGAGGGAAACAGCCTAATCAACTGCAGGACAGAAGCATATGCAACAGGATGCAGGTATTTAAAAGATATAGAGTAGGCTTCTATAAGACAACAAGGGGCGTTCTCTAAGATCCATTGCTAAAGGAAGCACAGCATGACGTCCCAAACAAAACTAAGTGCATGTGATAGGTCCAGAGAGCAAATATATAGGAAAAGGTCTCCTTTCCAGTGATGCAGACCATAATTACAGCTTTCTCCAGGCAGCTGAGGAGGGGACCAGGAATAGGGATGATAACTGTGAAAGGGAATTTGAGCCTTATTTTAAATGTTATATATATATATATTTTTTTTTTCACAAGAATTTATTCATGGAGTGTTGATATCATTTAAAATCAGCTTAATACTTAGGAATGAAGTTAAGCAGGGAGGCTGCTGAAAACTACAAAACTGCTGAAAGAAATTAGAAAAGACAAATAAATGGAAAGGCAACCTCTGTTTGTAGACTGGAAGACTGAATATTGCTAAGATTCAATACTACCCAAACAATCTATAGACTTAATGCAACCCTTATAAAAATCTCAATGGTATTTTTTTTAGTAGAAATAGAAAAGTCCATCTTAAAATCCATATTGAATCTCAAGGGAACTCCAAATAACCAAAACTATTTTGAAAAAGAAGAACACAATGGGAGGTCTCACGAAGCTACAGTAATCAAAACAGTATTTTGTGACCTAAAAGACAGACAGACATACAGCCCAATGGACTACAATAGATTGCCCAGAAATAAACACACATTTATGGTTGGAGGAAAGGACAATCTTTTCAACAAATGGTGCTGAAAAAACTGGGTATCCAATGCAAAAGAAAGAAGTTGGACCCTTATCTTATGCCGTATACAGAGTTTAACTCAAAATGGATCAAAGACCTAACTATAAAACTCTTAGAAGAAAACATGTGATTGAAAAGCTTCATGAGATTGGATTTGGCAATTGATTTATTGAACATGACACCTAAAACACAGGCAACAAATGTAAAAATAAACATGCTTAACTACATAAAAATTAAACCCTTTTGTGCAACAAAGATCACTATTCATAGAGTAAAAAGGCAACCCATGGAATGAGAGAAAATATTTGTAAACCATACATCTGATGAGGGTTTAATATCTAGGATATATTAAGAACGACAGCAAGAACAACAACAAAATCAAAAAAACAACCTGATTCAAAAGGACTAAAAGATTTGAAAAGACATTTCTCTAAAGATGATAATTAAACAGCTAATAAGCACATGAAAAGATGCTCATCATCATCAATCACTAGGGAAATGCAAATCTAAACTATGAGATCCTCATACCCATTAAGATGACTACTGTTTAAAAAAAATCAAAACCCAGAAAGAAGTGTTGGTGAGGATGTGGAGGAACTGGAACCTTGTACACAGATGGTAGGGTGTCAGGGAATGTTTGACGGGAGGATTGCTACATGCCGTCTCTCGTCCCTCTTCAAGCGGAACAGCACGCTGCTCCCAGGGACTGAGGTCATTGTGTGAGGCAGGCTTGGGTCTCCTTTAGTAAACATTCTCTTTAGGACAAAACTGCTTAGTCTTGTACCCCTTTCTTGAGATATGGATTGTCTCCTGACCTTGTGACTAACATTACCCCTTGTTCCCTAGGTAACAGTTGCTGTACATTTGGTTTTCTGACCTCTATCATTCCCGAAAGAAGTTTCTTGTACCACAGCCTATATATACTCATAGGAAAATCATTAAAGCACCTTTGCTCCATCAGAGCTTAGGTCCCCGGGTCTTTTTTGTCTCTCTCTCTCTTTTACATTCTTATCATCGACTCCGTACCACCAGGTTCCGGTCCATTAAAGGACCCCAACAGTAGGGTGGTGAAATGGTGCAACTGCTAGGCAAGTCAGTATGATGATTTCTTAAAATATTAAAAATATAAAAATTATTGCATCATCCAGCAATTCTACTTCAGGGTATATACCCCCAAAGACTGGAAAGCAGGGACTCAAACAGGTATTTGAAGCCAAGTGTCCACTGATGAACGAATGGATCAGCAAAATGGGGTCCATCCATACAATGGAATTTCATTCAGACTTATAAACCTTGAAGACATTATGCTTAGTGAAATAGGCCAGTCATGAAAAGGCAGATACTATAGGATCCCACTTACATGAGGTACCTAGAGTCATGAAATTCAGAGATAGGAAATAGAATGGTGGTTGCCAGGGGCTGGGGGAGGGAGGAATGGAGAGTTACTGTTTAATGGGTCCAGAGTTTCAGTTCTACAAGATGAAAAGGATGGACCATGGTAACAGCCACATAACAACATGAATGAGCTTAACGCTGCTGAACTGTACACTAAAAATGGTGAAATGGTCAATTTCATGTTGTATGTCTGTTAGTCACTCAGTCGTTTTCAACTCTTTGTAACCCCATGGACTGTAGCCCACCAGGCTCCTCTGTCCATGGAATTCTCCAGGCAAGAATACTGGAGTGGGTTGCCATTTTCTTCTCCAGGGCATCTTCCTGACCCAGGAATCGAACCAGGGTCTCCTGCACTGCAGGCAGATTCTTTACCATCTGGGTCACCAGAGAAGCCTTGATGTGATATATATTTGACCACAATTAAACATTTAAAACAAACAATTGAAAAGGAAAATCAGAAAGATAACACGTGCCTTCTAAGAGCATGTTCAGAGGCTAGGCTTCCAAGTTACTCCTGATTTACCAAAAAGAGTGTACCTTCCAGGAAACCCTGCAAGTGAACCGTTTCCAAAATGCAGCTGGAAATCTGCATTTCCCAAGCCCCCTTACAAACTGCCCCATGGCACACCAGCAAATGTTTAACTTCCCCAGAGACATGGGGGCCAGAGATGCCAAAGGGAAGATCTCTGGGCCTGAGTTTTAGCTCCTGCGTCCTTGTAACTGAGAACCTGCTGCCGCGTGCATGCTGAGCTCCAGGGACCGGCGGGGGTGGGACTCACCTCCAGGAAGTGATTGCTCAGGGCTGGGCCGGAGTCATTCTGGAAGGTCTGGAGGATGCGGAGGCGCCTCCTGTTGCGAATGTCATCCCAGTGCTTCCCATAGCTCGCCTCCAGCTCCCAGTGCAGATGGCCTGAGACCTCCTCGTGCCGCAGCTGGACCTGGGGACACACCCCACCAGGGAGGCCCCCAAGGAAGCCTTGTGTACCCAGTCCTAAGTCTCCTTGCTGCCACCCATCCCGAGATGCAAGGCTTGCTTATTTGGGGAGAGAATTCTGTAATAGGTATGGATTTTTTTTTTTTTGCACTGATTTTGATTTTGTAAAATTTTGCATTCGAATATGATTCACTTTCATGAGTATATTTCTGCCACCCTCTATCCCGAGGTGAGAAACTAGAAAGCCCCAACCTGGGCCTTATCTATGCCCTGATAAGGAGTAGAAAGAGCCAGCCCGCCATGGGAAGATGACTCCTGATTTTCATGAGCCCAAGACCTCCCCCTGCCCCACTCTCCCACAGCAGCCTCTGGCTCCCTGGACTGAATCTACAAGGATCAGGGTTCCCCACTTGGGGGCTCTTGGCATCCTCTGCTTCCTCTTGCCTCTGAACCACAGGTTGAGGCAACACAGGCTCCTCCATTCATTCAATTATTTAACAATTTTCCCCCAGGTACCAGGTAAGTGCCTCACTGGGCACTAGATAGCCAGGAAGGAAGGAGCCAGAAGCCCTGCCTTCATGGAAGCAGTAGTTCAGAGGAAGGCACAAACTGGAAACAAAGTAAATTAACCAAGAAACAGCCACTTCTCCCTTTTGCTCGCCCCTCCTCATTCTGGTGAATTGCCAGTTCTTTAAGCCTGCCATTCGCCCTTCAGTCCAGGATCTTTGCGCTTACTGTTCCCTCTGGCTGTAGCACACTTCCATGGGAACAGAACTATCTCATTTTTTATTTTTCAGCTTCAAATACATTTTCACCAAAGAAGTCTTCCCTGCTGCCCCATCCAAATTAGACTCCCCTGTGTTTGATCAGTCTCTGCCCTGTTTATCATCCATGGCATTTATAATTCACTTGATTTGGTCCATGTCTCTTGCTCTCTGCCCCCCACCCAGCAATGGGATGACGGAGACCAGGGGCCGCCCTGAGCACAGCTCTGCCCCAGGGTTGGGCATAGAGTGGGTGTTCAATCAACACCAGCTGAACAGAGGGGAGATGAGACTCAAGCTCCAATCCGTGATCCATCCCCATAGATGACCTTGAGCAATTGACCTCTCTGAGGATGGGTTCAGCATGCTCACCCACCACTTCCCTGACCCTGGGGGCTCTCTCCAGACCCCGTATCCGGCCCAGGCACCTACCTTGTGACTGAACGCTGGGATCTGCGTGCAGTGGAGCTTGTGGTTCAGCTCCAGCTTGTAGGCGGCCTCCGAGCTGCTCTCTGCCCATAGCTTCTGGCTGGTGCTGCACTCCTGAGCCAGCTGCTTCGCCTGACCTGTGCAGAGGGCAACCCAGAGACCCCTGCCCTTCCTCTGCCAGGCAGCCCTCCATCCTCATTCCGAGCAGAGGAGTGTCTGGCACAGCCCCGCTTCAGCCAGCCCTCTGGATCTGCCTCAACTAACATCGCTTATTGGACTCTGCCAACTGCGAGGTTTTAAGAGACAGATTTATGCCCAGCCCCAACACACACACAGGGCTTCCCAGGTGGCTCAGATGGTAAAGAATCCTCCTGCAATGTGGGAGACTTAGGCTCAGTCCCTGGGTTGGGAAGATCCTCTGGAGAAGGACATGGCAACCCACTCCAATATTCTTGCCTGGAGAATCCCCATGGAAAGAGGAGCCTGGCAGGCTATGGTTTTTGGGATCACAAAGAGTCGGACACGACTGAGCAAATAAGCACAGTGCACCCACACACATAGACAGAGTTTTTCTTGTTTTAACGGGCAGGGACTCAGCTCCATTCAAAGCCAATAGAAGACTGTTTAGCTAAGAAGCCATGCGGCGAGGCCAAAACACCCAAGGTAACATTGGCACTTTAGCCCTCGGAGCCACCGCCCCAGGAAAGGGCGCAAGTCCAGCCCCTCCCCAGCTCGCCCCCTGTCAGCACACAGGCATACCCCGGAGGCCGTACTTGATCCTCAGGTAGCTGGTCCAGAGGTGGCCCCGCCGCTGCAGCTGGCCCAGGGCACGTAGCCCCACGAGCTCCGGCACGAAGAGCTCAACACCCAGGGACACCACCTGCAGCCCGTCCTTCACCTTCTTCTCCAGCAGCGCTGTTGGGAGAGCGGGCGGGGAGACGGCAGGTCCAGTGTGGTCATGGCCCGTGCCCCAGGGACTGACCCCCCACCCCAGGGTGCCAGGGGAGGAAAGGATGGGGGAGCAGCCCAAGGGGTCCCGGTAGAGCCAATGCCTAAGTCTCTACCAAGGACCACGGACATCAGGGTCGTTGACAACATTTTCACTGTCCAGCTGGCAACCCCAAAAGTCACTTTGGTGGGTCCAAACCAAAAGGTTTTAAGACAAAACAGAATCAAACAAAAGAGAAATGACAGTGTGTTGATGGGGGTCAGGTAAATTTCACCTTCTGAAACTTGTTTCTGCTACACATTCAGCTCAATCACAGGTATAGCCATGCTGGTTAAGACAATCACAAATGCACAGGCCAGCTGGTCATTGGGGCCAGCCACTCACATCACTCCCTCAGAATTTCCCAGAACACCCCACGAGGAGCACCACCGGGAGGGCTCCACGCCAGCTCCAGGACCAGGGCGGGTGCCTGGTCAGGTGGGTGGGTATCCAGGCCAGGTTGCGTATTCAAAATCCAAACAGCACCCCGTACAATTTGGGTCAAAAATGCAAAACATGTTTTTTACACATCCTGTAACATGTAATGTGGGTCGGAACCCAGACAGTCCAAAAGGTGCTGGTTTATGGCTCATGGGGCCGGCTATGCGTATTGGAAGGGCGTCTGGGGGACTGAGGCAGAGGCTGCGAGCAGATACAAGGTCTGGGTTTTCCGTAAGTGGAATGTCGATATTGGGGAGTTGGGGTGATGGGGACTACAAGTGGGGTACTCAGCCCTCCCCTCCTCTCCCGAAGCCTGGTTGCTAAGGAAAGGTGGCAGGAAGGCCCACCTCCCTCCTCCTACCTGACACGTGGGCCTCATCACCCAGCAGGTTGCTCAGTGACACAGAGAAGGCAAGCCGGCTGCCCGCCTGCCGGCTGAGGTTTCCGGTGAGGACCAGAGGGCTGCCCGATGTCACCAGTCTCGCCTCCAGCTGGGCCTCAAACCGCTGGGCCTCGCCGCCCACTGCTGGCCACAGGTTGCTCCGGCCCTGGAAAGGTCCCAGCGTCACTTGGGGGGACGGGCTCGGCTAACAGGCCCCACCCTGACCGCAAGAACTGGGACTGGACAGAGGGCAGGAGATGGATCCAGGTTAATGGGCTTCTAGGCTGATCCTTCTCAAACTTCTTAAAAAACTGCTCACAATAGGTAAGTGAAAATGAAAGTGTCAGTTGCGCAGGCATGTCCGACTCTTTGAGACCCCATAGACTGTAGCCCGCCAGGTTCCTCTGTCCATGGAATTCTCCAGGCAAGAATACTGGAGTGGGTTGTCATTCCCTTCTCCAGCAGATCTTCCTGACCCAGAAATCAAACCCAGGTCTCCTGCATTACAGGCAGATTCTTTACCTTTTGAGCCACCAGGGAATGGGTAATCCCTATTCAAATTCAGACAAAGTATGAATGACTCTTCCTCACTGCCCCTCTTTCAATCTGTCAGGGACTCTTGGCCAGCTCTCCCTGCAGAATATTCTGGAATCTAACCACTTTGGCCACCTCCACCACTGTCCCAGCTTGCGCCTGCTCATCATGCCTGTGTGGCTATGACAACCTTCTCCCTGCTCTCCTGGCTCCTGCCCTAGTGACCAGGGAGAGCACTTCCATGCATAGGAGTTGATGGTACCCCTATCTTCTTCAGGGTAAGAGCCAAAGTCCTTGCAAAGGTCAACAAGGTCCGGTGGTTAAGAATCCACCTCCCAACACAGGGGACGTGGGTTCAATCCTGGTTGAGGAACTAAGATCCCACATGTTGCAGGGCCACTAAGTACATGAGCCACAACTCAAGAGCCCACACTCTGCAACTAAGACCCGATGCAGCCGCATAAACAAACACGTAAATAAATATTTTAAAAACAACAACAATGAGCCAGACTTTCTCTGGAAGTCAGCCACACAGCCCTGGCCAGAAAGCAAACAGCACAAGGGAGGACCCCCGGCAGGTAAGACACATAGATGACCCCAAACATACTCTACGTCTCCACGATTGAGCTTTGTCCAGAGAACCGATAGCAGCTGCAGCTATCATCTTTGATGGCTGTGCCGACTGTAGACCCATCCTACAGACCTCTCTGCTGGCTGCCAGCTGATCTGATTACCCAAAAGATGAAACAATGGCCTCACTGTTCCCAGACTGTCCACTGCTTTAGGTTGTTGTTCAGTCACCCAGTCGTGTCCAACTCTTTGTGGCCCCATGGACTGCAGCACACCAGGCTTCCCTGTCCATCACCAACTCCCAGAGCTTGCTGAAACTCATGTCCATCAAGTCAGCGATGCCATCCAACCACCTCATCCTCTGGTGCCCCCTTCTCCGCCTGCCCTCAATCTTTCCCAGCGTCAGGGTCTTTCTCTCTTGTAAACCCTGTTTTGCCTTTGCTTCTTGACAACAGTCACAAATGAGTGTCTTCTGCTTACTCTTTGGCAAAGCCTTACATGATCTGTCCCATCACTTTTCTGTCCCGTCTCCTGTGCTGGTCCAACCACACGGGGCCTCAGGCAGTGCTTCTGACATCCTGCACGCATCCCTGCCCCAGGACCTTTGCACGTGCTGAGCCCGCTACCTGCAATATCCTTCCCCCAGTGACCCACATGGCTCTCTTCTGCACATTCCTTACATCTTTGCTAAAGATTATCTCCTCAGTCAGGCTTACCCTGTCAGCCTGTTTAAAACTGAAGCCAAGGGGCTCCCCTGGCAGTCCAGCGGCCAAGACCCTGCACTCCCAATGCTGGGGGCCCAGGTTCTATTCCTGGTCAGGGAACTAGATCCTACATGTCACAACTAAGAGTCAGTGCAGCCAAATGAATAAATAAAAAACTGGTGCCAACTTTCAGGCCCTTCTTCTCAAATAATCCAGACCCCTGTATCTAGCTCATCGATTCCCTTTTCTTACAGCGTTTACATCCACCTATCACCACGATTTGCTTATGTATTTTATGATCTCTCCCATGAGAATGTAAGTTCCAACTTCCTGGTACATTGTAGGTACTTAATAAACAGCTACTGAATAAATGAATAAAGACAATGGAAAATATAGGTTTCATTCCCCTTCCTGGTTGCCCAGTCTCTCTCAAAGGCAACCACCATCCCTGCATCTGTGCATCTTCCAGAGACAGCGTGGGCCTACAGACATAAGTCTGTCTGTGTGTACACACACGTGTGTACATATGTATGTATACATGTGTACTTAATCACACGCGCACGCTGCCTCTTGCCCTGCACAAAAATAGACGCCGGCTCTCCACTCCGCTCCGCTTCTCTCAATTCATGGTGTGTCTGGCTGATGCTTCTCTCTGGTCTGTATCAGGAGCTGCTCGGCAGTCAGCTGTAGCTTTCGCAAAGTGCAGCCTGTAAATAGCGTGATTATAGAATTTCTCATCCAAACCAGGACACTTATCAGTTAAAGGGACCACTAATCAGGGACTTCCCTGGTGGTCCAGTGGCTAAGATTCCACACTCCCAATGCAGGGGGTCCTGGGTCAGGGAACTAGGTTCCCATATGCTGCAACTAAAGATCCTGCAAGCCGCAGGAAAGATCGGAGATCCCGTGTGCACCAACTAAGACTCAGGGCAGCCAAATAGATAAATATATTTTTGAAAAAAGAGAGAGAGGACCAGTAATCATAGCTGAGCTGGATCAATAGTAACCCGGGACTTAGGAATGCTCTATCATTGCACACACAGGGGAGAGGGCATTGAAATCTAACACTCTCCACGCCGTCCTTAAAGCCCATAAACTCTCAGAGTTGAGCCGAGCATTTCTGCTTTGTATTTCTGAGTTCATCTGCCTTAGCCTTCTCATTTCCTGTGGGCTTACCAAGAGGACTAAAAGAGAGACCCAGGGTCAAAGTCACATGTGTCCCCTGCCCATCCTAGAAAAGGCTTTGGAAAGTTCTGAAGCTCCAGCTGTTACCACTATCGCGATAAGTCTGAGGCAGCTAGAACTGGAGTTTCTCTAAAGGCCAATGCTTCCAGGCTGCAGACAGCCCTCTGGAGAGCAGCAGGCAGGCCTACAGGGAAGGGCAGGCAATTAGCACTCGTGTGCTTAGCAAAGTGGGATTGATTCGAGGGCTCCTGGGAGCTCTGCAATGAGGCATAGTCTCCGCCAGCAAGCAGCTGGGGTTCTAAGAGGAAGATGCTCTCCCCTGACACTTGGTCTTCGCACCCGGACAGGAAGCAGATTTGGGAGCTGAGAGTGTGTTCATGCAGCAAAAATTCCAACCCTGGCTCTAATTTTCAACTCGGACCTCTCTGAGAGTCCACTGGAGATGGATACAGAACAACCAGGCTCATGGCCAAAGGGGCCCAGAGGTCCCCCTTGGCAGGAGCGAGTCTCCAGCTGCTCTCTTTATCCTTTTTGGAGTCACAGACCTGCTTGAGCATCGGCTGGAAGGTCTAAACCCTCTCCCCAGAAGGAGGACAGACACAAACTTCTGCACAATTGCAGGGGCTTCAGAGGATCCACTGAGTCCCATCTAGGTCCTCCAGGTTGAAAACCTTAAAAAGTACCTATAGGGCTTCCTTGGTGGCTCAGTGGTAAAGAATTCACCCACTAATGCAAGGGACACAGGTTTGATTTCTGGTCTGGGAAGAACCCACATGTGCTGAAGCGACGCAGCAGCGTGTCACAACTACCGAGCCTGTGCTCTAGGGCCCAGGAGATACAACAAGAGAAGCCCCCACACTGCAAATCGAGAGTAGTCCCTGCTCCCTGCAGCCGGAGAAAAGATCGCACAGCTCCAAAGGGCCAGCACAGCCAAAAATAAACAAACAGATGCTTTTAAAAACTGAAAGGTTTTCAAATCTATAATATTATGAGCTGAACTGTGCTTCCCTCCAAAGCTAACCGCCAGGACATGTGAGGGTGACCATATTTGTAAACAGGATCTTTGCAGACAAAGGCAGGATGAGGTCATTTGTGTGCACCTTAATCCAGCCTGACTGGGAAACTTACAAAAAGAGAGATGTGGCCACAGATACCTGCAGAGGGCAGACAATGAGGAGACAAGGGGGAAGACAGCCACTTACAAGCCAAGGAATCCCCAAGGCTACTAGAAACCAGGAGAGAAGCATGGATTAGGGCCTTAGCAGGAACCAACTCTGCCAGCACCTTGATTTTGAACTTCCAGCCTCCAGAATTGTGAGAGAATTTCCATTGTTCAAGCCCCCGAAAATTCAGGGTACTTTGATAGAGCAGCCCTGGAAAACTCACACAGATTTCTCGGTGTGTGCCTTGACATTTCTTCTGGAAATCTGGGGAGTAGCACTCTTTGACTTACTATTTTATATCTTTGTCTACTCTGGATTTTTTAAAGCATGCTCCTCTGTTACTGTTATTACCAATTTTTGACAGTGATGGTGGTAAGAGCTGAACCCATTTTTTTCTTTTTCATACTAGATGGTACTAGTAGGTGGAGGGAGAAGAACAGCTAAAGCACCAAAGGAGGGACTTCCCTGGTGGTCCAGTGGTTAAGACTCTGCCTACCAACACAGGGGATTGGGGTTCAATCCCTGGTCAGGAAACTAGATTCCACATTCCTCGGGGCAACTGAACCCACACACCACAACTGAAAGGTCCTGCTTGCCACAGTGAAGAGCCCATGTGACACAACTAAGGCCCAACAAGTAAACAAATATTTTTTTAAAAATCCACCTTCCAATGCAGGGGACATGGGTTCGATCCCTGGTCAGGGAACTAACTCCCACATGCCACGGGGCAACTAAGCCTACACCCCACAACTACAGAGTCCCTGCGTTGTAACAGAAGTTCCCCCCATATGATGCAGCAAAGATCTCTAGTGCCACAACTAAGACTCAATGCAGCAAGCAAATTAAGTAAGTAAATAATTTAAAAAAAAAAAAACGCCAAAGGAGGTGGTGATAAGCAAGCACGGATTGGGACCGCAAGTGTCCTGGGAGGTGGCAGGTGTCGACACCAGGGGTTTGAGGACGGGTACAAACCTTGATGTAGTAGACGTCCCTTTCATCCAGGATCAACTCCAGGTGACCCATGCAGGCCCTCTGGACAGTCTCGATCTTTCCTGGGAGACAAAAATGAGAGTTTAGAGACTGGGGTTCAACATCCTGGATCCACCTCCGGAGTCGGCTGGGGGATGTCCTCCTGGCTTCCTATTCTCTGAGCCCCGGGATCCTCGTCCATTTAATGGGGCTCTATGTAGTGCCGACCTCAGAAGGTGGCTGAGGAGTCCACAGTGAGCGGGCTGTATCTGGCCCATGGATCCGGCCTGTGGCTGGGGGCAAGGTGATGGGGGACCACTGTCTTACCATCCAGCTCGATTCTCTTCTTGGGATGGAGAAGCTTGAGACGGAACTTCCCCTGAGGCCAGCTGTAGCTGACGTCCACCCCGACGTCCCTGGGCACTTCCGATCCGGGTGTGCCCATGAAGATGTGAGCTGAGGCTTCCTGAGGGAGCCAGCAGTCCTTCTGGAAACACAGCAGAGTCCTCGAGACTGAGAACCCATCCAGGTCCCACCTGAAGAAAACCTGAGTTCCGGGCTTCCCCCATCGCTCAGTGGTAAAGAATCTGCCTGCCAGGGCAGGAGACACTGGTTCCATCCCTGGTTCAGGAAGATCCCACAAGCCGCGGAGCAACAAAGCCTGTGAGCCACAACTACTGAGCCTGTGCTCTGGGGCCCGGGAACTGCAACTCCTGAAGCCCAAACACTCTAGAGCCCATCTACTCTAGATCCGAAACAAAAGGAGCCACTGTGGTGAGAAGCCCAAGCTCTGCAACTGGAGAATAGCTCCCACTCGCTGCAACCAGAGAAAAGCAATGAAGACCCCAAAATAAATAAATGCATGTTTCCAAAAGAAACACCAAAACCTGAGTTCTTATGGTCATTCTTGTCCTCGAAAGACAAGAACCCTAAAAGCAGGAGTCTGGGGCTGTATGTCCTGGAGGAGAGTCCTACAGGAGAACTCAGGACCACAGGAACAGGCTCTCAGTAGAGGAGCAGCTGCAACACACACCTGCCTGGACCCCCCGGGGCCCCTTCACCAGCTCAGCCTGCTCATCTCCCAGCTTCTGTGTGCTTTGCTTTAAAAAAAAAAAATTTTTATTTTGTATTGGGGTGTAACTGATTAACGTTGTGAAAGTATCAGGTGGAGAATGAAGGGACTCAGCCATACATATACATGAATCCATTCTCCCGCTAACTCCTCTCCCCTCCAGGCTGCCACAGAACATTGAGCAGAGTTCCCTATGCTGTTCGGTAGATCCTTGTTGGGTGCCCATTTTAAATATAGCTGTTTGTCCATGTCCATCCCTAACGCATCCCTATCCTTCCCACTGGCAGCCATAAGCTTGTTCTCAGCCCGTGAGTCTGTTTCTGTTTTGCAAGTAAGTTCATTTGTGTAACTTCTTTTTGGATTCCATATAAGGGATGTCACATGATGTTTCTCCTTCTCTGACTTACTTCACTGTGTGATGATCTCTAGGTCTACCCAGGTTGCTGCAAATGGCATTACTTCATTCTTTTTAAATGGCTGAGTAATAGTCCATTATATATATATGTACCACATCTTTATCCATTCCTCTGTTGATGGACATTTAGGTTGCTTCCAAGTCTTGGCTATCATAAACAGTGATGCAATGAACATCGGGGTCTGTGTACTTTGCTCCTAATGCCAGGCACCTGTGACCTCCAGAACATTCCCTCCAGCAAAGGAGGGAAAAACATCTCGCTCCTTAGCCCCCAGGGGTCCAAACTCTGCAACATAAGTCCTGCTCCAGGGCTGAGCAGGGTTCAGGCTGATGCTGCCACCTCACCTGCCACCCCACCGCCCCCCCCACTCAGCTTCTTTCCTATCCCCACCCTCTTTTCTCCACCCTCTTACTGGGTCCTCCTGGAGTCTTTTCTTCATCCATCACTTTTACCCAAAGCCTCGTCTCTGGTCTGCTTCTGGGAAAATGCAGCTTAAGGTATGAGCTCTCCTTAATATCCTGCACCATCGTACATTCACTCAGAACCAACTAACGTTCACTGCTGTGTGCAAGGCACTGTTGCAGGCACAGGGAGTGCAGCCAAGTGATGTACAAGTGATATCCTGCCCTCCGGGCACCTACACTCGCAGGACCTCCAGACACAGAGGTGAGACGGCAGCTGGGGGCCGTGAGCACTCTGCTGACAAACTCGGAGTCGGGGGTCACTGTTCTGGACTGGGTGGTCAGGGAGGGAAGTTGTTGCTGAGGAAGGGGTGCGTTTGATGAGACCAGAAGGCAAGTGGATGTCTAGAAAAGAGTGTTCCAGGCAGAGGAAATAGCCAGTGCAAAGGCCCTGGGGCAGCAATGTGCTTGGCATTTAATTAAAAGGAGGTCAGTGTGTCTGGAGAGTGGTGATACTGGTCAAAAAGTGGGGAGATGGGGAGGAGAGACTGGCATGGCTGGATCATTGAAAGCCTGTCTGTCAGGGTGCTTGGCTCCTACTCAGAGGGAAAGGAGTCCTGAGCAGAGGACGGACGCAATCCTTTAGGGATTTTGGAAGGTCTGTCTGGCTGCTGGTGGAAAACACATGGGAAGGAGACAGGAGTGGGAACTGGGAGGTCAGATAGGAGGCTGTTGAGTGTCTGTTCTGTGCCAGGTGCTGGGGACCCAGGCGTGAGAAAGGCACCGGATCTGTTCCCAGGAACTGAGTGACTAGTGGGGAAGACAGATCTTAATTAACCGGCTTCAGTAGTGAACACAAATGGGACCAAAAGAGAAGAAACACCGTCCCCTTAGAGCACGTAACAAACGAATATGGCCACTTCAGGGTAATCAGGGCAGGCTTCACTGAGGAGGTGACCTCTTAAATGGAGCTCTGAAGGTTGATTCAGAGTTAACAAGCCAACAAGATGTGCAAGGGTCCTGAGGCAGGAGGGGAACTACAGCAGGACAAGCCCAGTCCAACAGCTCCAGGGAGGAGGCCCCCTGTCTTTACAAGTGATGCTCAAGGCTGACCCCGGAGTAGAAGACCTAGGGAGCTCCTGAATCTGGATGAGAAAGAAGAAGGTTCTCTAGGGCCTACCTGGGGGTAGAGGGTGTAGGCAGCTTCCAGCAGATACTGTTGGAGCCCCCGGTCCTGCTTCTTCAGGGTCACGGCTGTGAAGACAGGCAGCCAGAGCAGGTAGGGCTGGTCGGGCGCAGGCCAGCACATCTCAGCGCAGAGCTGCCAGCCCCAGGTGTGGGATGCTGTGAGGAGGGGAGCAGGCAGCACCCGTCAGGAGAGAGCTGAGGGCTCCGGGCGGGGACACGGACGCTCCCATCAGCAAAGAAAGAGCATCTCCACATTCTTTGGAGAAACAGTGTTATTTAGTCATTAATCATAGGAGGTGGTGCTGTGTAGACCTGGGTTTCTCAGCTTTGGCATTCTCAACACGTGGCCTGGATAATTCCTTGTTGCAGGGAACTGCCCTGGGCTCGACCCACTAGACGCCTTCAGCACCTCCCACACCAGTATGATGTCTCCAGACATTGCCAACTGTCCCCTGGCTCGGGGGGAGGGTCAAAATCACCCCTGGTTTAGGACCCCTCATGTAGACTATCAGAATATCCAGCAGTATGATATAGGACACAGGCTCTGGAGCAAGAAAGCCTGGACCCGATTCCTGTTCTGCCAATGCCCAGCTGTGTGACTTTGGGCAAGTTACCTAACATCTCAGTGCTTTGGTGTTTCTCATCTGTCCCTTGGGACTGAAAATAGATCCAGGCCCATGGTGTAGCTGGGAGGATTTATAGCTCAGTGAGTGTTCAGGACACTGTTTAGCCTAAAGGAGTAACTTAAGCAGGCCCCTCCCCCCCAAATGATTGCAAGATCTGCGACTGTTTGATCTACCTCCTTCTCTTCCTTCTCAATTTTGTTGCCTTTCACCTGATGCTATCATCAAAGAGTTGTCTTATTCTATTACAATATGCAGTTCAGGACTTCCCTGGTAGTCCAATGGTTAAGAATCCACTTGCCAATGCAGTGGACACAGGTTTGATCCCTGAGTTGGGAAGATCCCACATGCCATGGAGCAACTAAGCCCGAATGCCACAACTGCTGACCCCATGTGCTGCAACTCCTGAACCTCTGTTTTGGGGCCCTCACTCTGCAACAAGAGAAGCCACCAGAGTGAGAAGCCCACGCACCACAAGAAACAGCAGTCCCCACTCACCGCAGCTGAAGAAAGCCTGCGTGCAGTGGCAAAGACCCAGCGCAGCCAGAAATACACACATATATACATATGTAAAAAAGGAAATGCCAAAAAATCTACTAAAAAATGCCCTTCTTTACAGACTTCAAAAGTTACGGGATATCTCGGTATTTTACCAAACCAGGCGTTGGCACACGTTTTCAGTAAATGGCCAGATGGTAAATACTTGAGGTTTTGCTGGTCACACATCCATGACCGCAGTTTGCTGTTACTCAGCTCTGCTGTTGTTGAAGAAAAGCCACAGACAACGAGAGTGGCTCTGCACCAATAAAACTTCATTTCTGGGCACTGAAATATGAATTTCACAAATTTCTCACATGTTCTGAAATAGTCTTCTTTTGATTACTTTTTCAGCATTTGGAAATGTAAAAGTCTATTCTTAGTTCAAAGGCCGTTATAAGAAGCCATCCTCCTACTGTTGGACATTTGAGTTGCTGCCTATTTTTTTTTTTCTCTGTAAATAATGATGCAACAAACATCTCTGTGCATTCGGCACTTTTAAAGCGATTTTGGCTTATTTTCATAAGGTATAGGGAAGGCTTCCCACATGGTGCTAGTAAGGAACCCACCTGACAATGCAGGAGGCACAAGAGACGTGGGTTCAATCCCTGGGTCGGGAAGATCCCCTGGAAGAGGTAATGGCAACCCACTCCAGTATTCCTGCCTGGAAAATTCCATGGACAGAGGAGCCTGGCGGGCTACAGTCCGTGGGGCCACAAAGAGTCAGATACGACTGAATAACTGAACACAAAAAGTCTAAACACAGCATCACTGCGTCAAGGGGCATAAGCACTTCAGGGCGGAAGAGTAGCTCTGGAGTTTGGAGCTGTTATCTTACCCTTCAGCCCCGAGATGCCCATCTTGGGACAATGACACGAAGGGCCTGCTGGCACCCACCTTCCTTGCTGGTACAGGACGGGGCCTCGGAAGGGCTGGGAATGTGACTGAGGCTCCTCGCGCCATCCCCAGTGATGAGATACAGCTGAGAGCTGGGTGGGACGGGAGGGAAGTGTGGTGAGTCACTGACATTCACCCATAAAACCACCAGGGCAAGGCGCTGGGGCAGGTCCCACCAGGAACAGGACAGGCCTTTGGGGCACCTGGCGCGCTGGTGGGGGAGTCAGCCCATGAACACAGAGGGTGACAAGCGCTGTGAAAAACCTAAAATATCGGACGGCATGGGCATAGCATCCACCTTGGGGACACAGCAAGGCGTTGGTTAGATGGGGGGTTTGGAGGGGACATTCTGCAGAGGTAATATATGGTCAGAGAATCAAAGGATGAGAAGCAGCTGACATCCCAGAGGGAGTGGCAGGTGCAAAGGCCCTGGGGTGAGAATAAAGGGGGCTCTTTAGGAACCACCAACAAAAGGGAGGTGAGGGGGTCAGAATGGAATGGAGGGAGTGAGGGGGGAAGTAGTGGCAGGAGACGGGTGAGGGAGTGGGCAGGGCCTCCATCGGGCAGGGCAAGCATGTTAGCTGGGTTATCCCGGAAGCAAGCAAGGGATTTTAAACAGGGGAGGGGCAGCATGATAGGACTTAATTGACAAGTAAAAGGAGACCCCACTGGCTGCTGCCCAGAGAGGGTCAGGTGGGCAACAGTGCCTCCAGCAAGGGAAGGGAGGAGGTAGAGGTGGGGGCAGTCTGGCTTCTCCTATTGTCTCTGAATCCACTGTTCTCTAAGTATCACCTCTCCAGGAGGCTGGGGACAAGCAGACCCAAGGAGGGACCCCCGGAAAGATCTGAGCATTTTGGGAGTCCCCCATCTCGGTCTCCTTCAGACCCTATCCCAGACACACCCACCCTACCCTGACATACACACACACACACACACACATATGATACACCCCACTCACTGCCATGGGCACACTGTCTCACAAACACGCCCACAGACATGCAAGCACATACACAGGCTCACAGGCATGCACACTCTCACAGACACACACACCCACGCCAGCGCCCACCCTGGCTCACACACAGACACTTTCACAGGTTCCCTCCCGGGTTGTGGGAACCCACCTGAAGCGGAGCAGCTCCACAACCTCTTCCGGTGTGTTTAGATGCACCCTGAGGTCTTGGCCCTTCCTCGCCTGGATCCCACCATCCAGGCTGGCAGTGCCGCGGACACCAGTCACCCACCTCAGCCCGGCCTGCCCCAGGGCACCCACTGTGCCCATCTGCACTGAGATCTGGAGCAGGGCGCTAAGGAAGAAGCACATGGCTGCAGCCTATGGCCCCAGGCAACGGCCAAACCAGTGCCAACCCATGCACCACCCACGACCCCCCTGTCAGCTTCACTTCATGGTCCTGAGTCAGAGCGGCCCCTCCACCACGGCCATCACTGACCACACACTCTACGTGGGCCAAGCACTCTATACCTTGCCATCAAACCCTCACCATCACTAGCCCCATTTAACAGACAGACAAACCAAGGCTCACAGAGGTGACACCACCTTCATGGGTTCCACAGCTGGGACATGGAACAGACAGTCTGGAGTCCTGGTTGTCAGAGTCCAAGCCTAAGGTCTCTGTGCCCAACAAAAGGCAGCACAGGACACCCACATTCCCCATGTTGGACCCAGAAACCAAACACAGGTCAACTTAATGACTGGGAGAGTCGCCCAGTAGGCCTGGGACAGCTGATCATTGTTCCGCTCAAAATCCTTGATGCCGTGTGGCCCTGGGTCAGCTGTGCACTCACTATGAGTCTCAATTTCCTTAACCCTTAAAGGGAATAAGAAAAGTGTCCACCTTGTGTGTGGTCATGTGGGTTCCTGTACCTTAAATGCTCCTCCCTCTCCTTCTCCTCCCACCCCCTCCCCCAAGAGGCAGAGGGGGCAGAGGGAAGAGCGGGGCTGTGAATCCCAGCTGCTGTGCTACCTTGGGCACGGGGGCTGTACCTTGCTGAGCCTCAGTCTTCCCATCTGTAAAGTGGGCACATCTGCCCAAGATCTCCTTAGTTTCTTGGCACGAAAAACACTCCATCTACAGTAGCTGGTATGAAGGTATTCAGCAGAGCAGGGCTCCCCACCGCCCCCAGCCCATACTGATGTCCCAACTCTCTGCAGGGGGAGGCCCTGATCCACCTATCTCCCCCAAATCCGAGGAGCCAGTTACCTGGGCTTGACATAACCATTCACAGAGAAATCTGAGCGCTGCTGGAAGTCGGCTGTCCCTCGGACCCGGATGTTGATGGCCGCCGAGACGTTGAGAGTCAAGCGGGCTGGGAGGCCAGACATGGTGGGAAAGGTGAGCTCCTCCATCGCTAGGTTCAGCCTCCGGTTCACCTGCACCTCCTGGCCCTGCAGTCAGAGGACCGTAAGAGTGCACGTTACCCCCTCACTCACCCCTCACAACCCTCAGACGGAACCTCATTACTGCCCCCAGTTTCCAGACAAGAAAACAGAGCCCCCAAACAGATAACATAACCCAGCCAAGCCCATGTAGCTAGAAACTGGCAAAACTGGTGTTTGAACCAAGACAGGTTACTGTAGGTCATAGTCAGAGGTCAGGCATCCAGGCCCATCCAAGGTGTGGGCCCTGCTAGCATACCTGGTTCAGAGCACTTAATGCCAGGCACACTCCACTTTGTGGCATTGTTACCACACTGAGTCATTTGATTCAACAGCTCTATGAAGTAGATATTATTATTACTATTCTAGCATGCCCATTTCACAGATGCAGAAACTGAGGCTATGGTAAATTCAACAATACGCCCAAGGTGGTAAGCAGTGCAGCCAATTTTTGAGCTTGGGCAGTCTAGTTCGAAATTTCACGCTCTTGAGTTTGAAGGTTAGTACTCCACCAAAGCATCAAAGGAAACATCATCAGCTCAGAGGGCAGGGAAGGGCCAAGCCCAGCCTGAGGTACCTTCAGGAGTTTGATGGCAAGCTCAGCCAAGTTCAGGGACTGGCGCGTCACGTGGCTCCCCATCGCCCCACAGTTCACAAAGCTTAGCTCGTGCCCGAACACCTTCATGCTCAGCTGACACTTCAGCGCCTGCCTCTCCCTGCGCCTCCGGGCCACCTGTGACCAGGAACAGGTCTGGCTTAGCCGGGCAAGGCACCTGGACTTCGGCAGGGGGAAGGGGCAGCTGGAGAGAAAGGTCAAGGGCTTGTGGGGTTCAGAACAGGGCTTGCAAAACTCATGGTCCAGAGGCAGAACCTACGGATATATTTTCTTAGACCTTCACAGTCTACCCAACACCCAATGCAATGTGTGTGTGTGTTTTAGTAAATAATAGAGGCTTTTAAAAATCCAGGCTGAATGTGACCCAGCAATAGAGCCAGACAAAACTACAATTCAAAAAGACAGATGCACCCCAGTGTTCATTGCAGCGCTATTCACAATAGCCAAGACATGGAAGCACCCTACTTTATCCATCAGCAGAGTAATGGATAAAGACGGGGTACATATATACAATGGAATACTACTCAACCACCAAAGAGTGAAATAATGCCCTTTGCAGCAACGTGGATGAACCTAGAGAGTGTTATACTGAGTGAAGTAGGTCAGAGACATATGAAAATATCAAATGATATCACTTACATGTGGAATCCAGAAAAATGATACTAAAGTGAACTTATTTCCAAAGCAGAAAGAGTCACAGATATAGAAAACAAACTTATGGCTACCAGAGGGAAAAGGAGGGGGGTGGATAAACTGGGAGACTGAGATTAACACATACACACTGCTACATATAAAATAGATAATTAATAAGTACCTACCCTATATAGCACAGGAAACTCCACTCAATACTGTTAATAACCTATATGTGAAAAGAATCTAAAAAAGAGTAGATTATATATAGGGGCTTCCCTGGTGGCTCAGCTGGTAAAGAATCCGCCTGCAGTGTGGGAGACCTGGGTCCAATCCCTGGGTTGGGAAGATTCCCTCGAGGAGGGCATGGAAACCCACTCCAGTATTCTTGCCTGGAAAATCCCCATGGATAGAGGAGCCTGGAAGGTTACAGTCCATGGGGCCGCACAGAGAGTCCGATATGACTGAGCAACTAAGAACAGCACATACATATACAGAAAACTGAGTCACTTTGCTGTAAGCCTGAAACTAACACTATATTGTAAATCAACTATGAAAGTGAAAGTCGCTCAGCCGTGTCTGACTCTTTGCGACCCCATGAACCATACAGTCCATGGAATTCTCCAGGCCAGAATACTGGAGTGCGTAGCCTTTCCCTTCTCCAGGGGATCTTCCCAAGCCAGGGATCGAACCCAGGTCTCCCACATGGCAGGCAGATTCTTTACCAGCTGAGCCACAACTACACTCCAATAAAAATTTTTAGAAAAAGTTGCAAAGCTAGTACAGAGAGCTCCCATGTACCTCACCCTGTTTCCTCCACTGTTAGCATCTTACGTGACCAAGATGCACAGTGAAAACGAGGAAACCAACACGAGCATGTTATTAACTAAACCACAGACTTTATTCAGATTTCACCAGTTTTTCCATTCCATCCTCTTTCTGTTCCAGGAGTCAGTCCAGTACCACATAGAGTTTAGTATCATGTCTCTTCAGTCTCCTCTGGTCTGTGACAGTTTCTTGGTCTTTATTTTTCATGCAGTAAGTGTTCTTAAAAAATTTATTTCTACTATTTAAAACCTGGGAGATTTTATGCAAAATCCAGACACCCAGCTTCTCAAAAAAAAGAGAAATATTGGCCTGTCTCCCACTGCCTCGCAGTCTCCCCCTCCCCAAAAGGGCAACAGGCATTCAGAACTGAGCGGTGGCTGCCAATGAGCCGAGGCCTGAGCTGCAAGCCTGTCTACCACAGTCCCCACCACACCCTGCTGTCTCTCCAGTGCTCAGACCAAGGACTACTGTCACTCATCACTGTGCTTGTGCAAAATATATCCTGCAAAGTGAATATATATCAAAAGCGAGAAAACAGGACTTCCCTGGTGGCACAGTGGTTAGGAATCCGCCTGCCAAGGCAGGGAACACAAGTTCAATCACTGGTCGAGGAACATTTCACATGCCATGGAGCAACTAAGCCAATGCGTCCCAACTACCGAGCCCATATGCTGCAACTACTGAAGCCCGCGTACCTAGAACCTGGGCTCCGCAACAGGAGAAGCCACTCCAGTGAGAAGGCCGAGCACCGCAATGAAGAGTAACCCCCACCACTCGCCACAACTAGAGAAAGCCCGCACGGTAACAAAGACCCAGAGCAGCCAAAAGTTAATTTGATTAAAAAAAAAAAAAAACAGTTTTTAAAGAAACCTAAAAAAAAAAAAAAAGCCTTAAAAAAAGTGAGAAAATAATAGACCAACTGTGTTATGCTAAGAAATTGTGGGCCTGTGATTCTAAGAAAACACATTTATATCCAGCCCACAACCCTCATTCAAGTTGCTTACTGGCCCCAGATTTAGTCCAAGAGGCTTTTAAGAGCAGGGCCCACGCTCTGATCATCTCTGTGTTCCTGGGCTGTGTTGAGGTCACAGCTGATGGTTAGTAAACAAGTGAACACGTAAGGAAATGCTTCAGCCACTACCTTGATCACCCCCGGATATACATGGAAATGACATTTATGAAAACAAAAAGGTACCAACAACCTCAGTATCCATTGGTGGGTAAAAGGTCATGTAAAGTAAGGTCCCCACCCACAGAAAGGGTATTAAAATGTTTGCATACTGTAAGTTTTCAGTAAGAAAAATACTCAAGTAGTAGTATCAAGTAAGAAACCAGAGGAAACTCACATATACACACACTCCCTGCCCAGCAAGTCCACTCCTAGGTACGCGTGGAACAGATGTATGCACATACATTCACCAAAGAGACACGTACAAGAATGCACTACCCATAATAAGCCAGAAACTGGCTTTAAAAATGGACAAGGAAATTGTCAACAGTAAATGGATAGCCCATCAAAAGTAACTGGATAAAGAAACGGTGGTATGTTCACACCATGGAATGCTATAAGCAAGGACAATAAACAAGCTGTAAGTACACGCAGCAACACAGATTGATCTCACAAACACACTTTAAGCAAAAGAAGTCAGACACAAAAAAAGAGGATGTGGACAGCATCATTCACAATCGTCCTAAGATGGGAAGAACCCGAAAGTCCATCAGTGGGTAAAGGCACATGCAAAATGTGGTTCATCCATACAATGGATATCATCCAGCCTTAGGAAGGAATGAAGCACAAAATCAGACCCATAGGTCAATGGAACATGTTAGAGAGCCCAGAAATAAGTTCACACACCTAAGATCAATCTATGACAAAGGACACAAGAATATACATTGGAGAAAAGACAGTCTCTTCAGCAAGTGGTGCTGGGAAAGCTGTATAGCTACTTGTAAATAAATGAAGTTAGTACACACTCACATCATACACAAGAATAAACTCAGAATGGCTTAAAGGCTTAAACATAAGACATGACACCATAAAACTAGAATATAGGCAAAACATTCTCTGACATAAATCATAGCAATGTTTTCTTAGGTCAGTCTCCCAAGGCAAAATAAATAAAAGGGAAAATAAACAGGACCTAACAAAACTTAGAAGATTTTGCACAACAAAAGAAACCATAAACAAAAAAAGAGAATCTACAGACTGAGGGAAAATATTTGCAGATGATGCAACCGACAAAAGATTAATTTCCAAAATACATAAATAGTTCACACAGCTCAGTATCAAAACAACCTAGTCATAAAATAGGCAGAAGACCTAGAGAGACGTTCCTCCAAAGAAGACATACAGATGGCCAACAGGCACATGAAAAGATGTTCAATATCACTAATTATTAGAGAAATGCAAATCAAAACCACTTCACACCATGCACCTTCATGTTTGTAGCAGCAACAGCCAAGATATGGAAGCAATCTAAGTGTCTATTGAGAGATAAATGGATAAAGAAGATGTGGGACACACACACAGACAATGGAATACTACTCAGCCATAAAAAAGAATGAAATAATGTAATCTGCAGCAACATGGATGGACCTAGAGATCATCATACTACGTAAAGTCAGACAAAGACAAACATCGTATGATATTACTTACATGTAGAGTCTAAAAAATTATGTAAATGAACTTATTTACAAAGCAGAAAGAGACCCACAGACATAGAGAGCAAACTTATCGTTACCAAAGGGCAAAGGGGGTGGGGAGGGATAAATGAGGAGTTTGGGATTAACATATACACAGCACTATATATAAGATAGATAAACAACAAGGACTTATTGTATGAAAGTGAAAGTGATAGTCACTCGGTAGTGTCTGACTCTTTGCGACCCCATGGACTATATAGCCCACCAGGCTCCTATGTCCATGGAATTCTCCAGGCAAGAATACTGGAGTGGGCTGCCATTTCCTTCTCCAGGGGATCGTCCTGAAACAGGGATAAACCCAGGTGTCCTGCACTGCTAGCAGATTCTTTACCAGCTGAGCCTCGAGGGAAGCTCCTAAATTTTGTAATTTTTGGTTGCACCATGAAGCATGTGGAACCCTAAGTTTCCTAACCAGGGATTGAACCCTCATCCCCTGCAGTGGAAACACGGAGTCTTAACCATTGTACCACTGCAGGGAAGTTCATGAAGTTCATTCAGGGAAGTTTCTGTATAGCACAGAGAAATATACTCAATATCTTGTCCTAATCTATAATGGAAAAGAATCTGAAAAAGTGCATATGTACACACACACACACACACATATAACTGAATCACTTTGCTGTACACCAAAAACTATCCCATTATAAATCAACTATACTTCAATTAAGAAAGGAATTATTTGTGCAATAGAAAAAAAGGATGAAGTACTGATGTATGCTGTGACACAAATAGACCTCGAAAACATGCTCAGTGAAAGAAACCAGATACAAACGGCCACATATTGTATGATTCTGTTTATAAGAAATGTCCAGAACAGATAAATCCATCAGGACAGAAAGCACATTCATGGTTGGCAGGGCTGGGAAATGAGGGTACGGCGCGTGACCGCTAACGGAGGTGGGGTCTCCTTGGGGTGATGAAAATGTTTTGGAACTAGACAGACGTGGTGGTTGCATAACGCTGTGAATGTATCACGTGTCACTGAATTGTATACTTTTAAACGGCTAACTTTATGTTATGTGAATGTCACCTCATTTTTTTCTTTCCACAAGAGAACATGTAAATGATTCCAGGTACATAAAATTCACAAAGGAACTGGATGTGACTTCTCCTATCAACCAGATTGAAGTAACAGGGACTGGATTTACTTCCCCGTGTGGAGCAACTCGAAACTCAGATGAAACAGATTAAACAAAAGTTCCCAAGACATTAGACGCCATCAGGTAATGAGAGATGATGAACCCAAGAGACAGGAAATAGCAAGGTGAGCCTCAGCTCAACCACCTGGAGGGGGTTCAGGCTGAGGGGCTGGGAGGGGAACACAGTGGGGCAGGGCAGACTCCTGGAGTGAAGGATCTGGGAGCCTGGGGAGACCAAGGTGACCGGACATTGCGGGGCAGAGTACAAGAGGGGAAAGAGTGGCACAGAGAACTCTGGAAGCCTCCAGAGGGTTCCAAGAATCTCTGTAAGACTGCATTAGGCAAGGATTTCTTAGATGTTAACACCCGAACACTACACGTAAAAGAAATGGATAAACCTGACTTTATCCAAATCAAGGATGTCTGCTCTTTAAAAGGCACTGTTGGGACTTCGTCTGAGGTCCAGTGGTTAAGAATCTGCCTTCCAACGCAGGGGACTTGGGTTGATCCCTGCTCGGGAAACTAGGATACCACATGCTGTGGGGTGACAAGGCACACACACCACAACCAAGAGAAGCCCACCGCTGCAAATACGGAGCGCACGCGCTCTAGAGCCTGGGTGCCACAACCGGAGAAGCCTGCACACGACAAGCAAGACCCAGCATGGCCAGAAAAAGACACTGTTAAGAGAATAGAAAGACCATGCCACACACTGGGAGAAAATATTTGCAAGTCACACAGCTAATAAAAGCCTTGTGTTCTAAATAGATCAAGAAAGTTTGAAACTTGCTCTTAAGAAACCAACTCAATTAAAAAAAAAAAGACAAAATATTTGAACATACACTTCACCAAAGATGCAGAGGTGACAAATAAGCACATGAAAAGATGCTCAACGTTAGCAGCATTAGGGAATAAAGCCATGAGATACTACCACACACCATTAGAATGGCAAAAACTAAAGTTTAATCCTACCAAGTGTTGGCAAGGATGTGGAGGAATTAGACCTCGCATACACTGCTGGCGGGGATGCAAAATAGTACAACCACTTTACAAAAGAATTTAGCTAGCTCTTAAAAAATTAAACATATGATCCAGCCATCCCATCCCTCGATGTTTACCTGAAACATGAAAACATATGTTTATATGAAGATTTGAAATGGCAACCCACCCCAGTATCTTTCCTGGAAAATCCCATGGATAGAGGAGCCCGGCGGGGTACAGTCCATGGGGTCCCAAGAGTTGGACATGACTTAGTGACTAAACAACCACCACATACATAAATGGGCATAGCATCCCTACTTGTAATAGCCTCCAAGCTGGAAATAATGCAAATGTTCATCAACAGGTGAATATTTAAACTGTGTTCCATCCCTACAATGGAACACTACTTGACCATAGGAAGAAATAAACTATTCGTATACCCTGAACAATGGATGAATCTCAAAATAATTACACTGAATAGAGGGAGTCAGGCCAGAAAGGAGCACATGCTTTAAAACAAAAGTATATGCTGCATGATTCTATTTATGCAACATTCCAGAAAGTGCTAACTTATCTATTTTGACAGAAAGAGCATATCACAATAGGGGGGCAGGGGTAGAGCAGGAAGAAGGGATTAAAGAGCAGTAAGAAACCTTTGGGGGTGAGGGATATGTTGATTTAGCTGATGATGGTTTCATGGTGTATTGCTATTGTTTTCCAGTTGCTAAGTCATGTCCAATTCTTTGTGACCCCGTGGACTGTGGGATCCCCGTGGACTATAGGATCCCCGTGCCCACCAGGATTCTCTGTCTGTGGGATTTCCCAGGCAAGAATACTAGAGTGGGTCACCATTCCCTCCTCCGGGAGATCTTCCCGATCCAGGGATGGAACTCTTGTCTCCTGCATTGGCAGGCGGATTCTTCACCGCTGAGCCATCAGCAAAGCCCCTTCACAGTGTTTACGTATGTCGAAACTTGTCAAATGGTATGTGTCAAAACTTTAAACACATACCATTTATTGTAGGACAATCATACCTCAACAAAGCTGATTTTTAAAGGGTTACTCAGTGCTATTAGGAGTCAGAAGAGTGGTTGCTTACCTCTGGTTATGGGCAGGTAAACCAGAATAGGGAGGCAGAAGGGTGCCTCTGGGGAGCTTATGAGGGTCTGGGTGCTGGTTACAAGGATGTTTCACTGATGGAAACACACTTCCAAGGTGGGCGCTTTTCTATGTATGTGATATAGCAAGTGGCTTTTCAAAAGAAGGCAGGCTAACAGCTCCCCGCTGAGATCTGGCCCAGCAATGTGCTTCTGTAAGGGGGCTGGGCGGTGGGAGGGCAGGGTCAGGGTGCATGGACACCTGGATCCCCCAGTCCCAAAGCCCAAGCTAGCACCTGACAGGGGGAGGGTGAAAAGAGGTGGGCACAGGTGCTTCCCTTACCTTCTGCTGCAAGTCTCTCATCTTTCTGGACCTTTCTCCTGGACAAGCAGGGTCAGCCAGCGGCAGTGCAGGCCCTGGCTCTGCCTCTTGGGGCTCCTCCGCCTGGGCTTGTCTCGCCCCTTCCTGCCTCCAGAATGACTTTGGGCCAAACAGCCTGCGGGCCATTTCCTCGGCATTTTCCAGTCGGAGCCCCAGCTGGGAAGGAAAGTCCAGGGGCTCAGGGCACAGTAACTTGTTCACAATAGTAACCAAGAGCTGTGGGGTTGGGAGCTTGAATAGAGGGCCCCAGGCTCCCTAGGGTCCATCCAGGCCCAAACGTCAAGAGATACAATCTCAGCTCCACATCTGCTTGGCAAATGCCACACAGCAAGAATTCCGACCAATTCTTTGAGGCCTGGTTCAAATGTCACCACCTCTGGGAAGCCCTCCCTGAATTCTCATATCACCAGCTCCATACATTCCCCCTCCCCACCCCCAGCCAAATTTATTACCCCTTCCTCTGAGTGTGAAGCACATTACTCCAAGGTCATGCTCAAATCTGTGTGTCTCCCTGCAAGATCTTGAGCTACATGAGAGCAGGGCCCTGCATCTCACTAAGTGAACTCAATGCCTGGTGAGATGGTCAATTCTGTGTCTATGTGACTGGGCCACAGGGTGCCCAGATATTTGGTCCAGTGTTATTACACGTGTTTCTGTGAGAGAATTTTTGGATGAGTTTAACATTTAGATCAGTGGACTGAGTCAAGCAGATTGCCCTCCACAATATGGGTGAGCCTCATCTAATCAGTTGAAGGTCTGAATGAAACAAAGGGCTGCCCTTCCTCCAAATAAGAGGGCATTCCTCCTGCCTGACTGTCTTCAGACTGGGACATTGGCTTTTCCAACCTTCAGACGGGAACTACACCATCAGTTCCCCTGGGTCTCCAGCTGTGCTGACTGTAGATCTGGGACTTGTCAGCCTCTATAACCCTACTGGTTCTACTTTTCTGGAAGACCCTGACTAACAGATGACCTGACTGATCCTCAAAATCTGATGGATGAATGAATGAGTCCTTCCTTCATTTCCTCTACCTATCCATCCACCCATCTGTTCACTCATTCTTACATCCTTTCCTTCCAACCTCTCATCTAGATATCTATGAGAGCATTTGCAGAGAAATTACCAGAGGTTCAGCCCTTGGCAGATCTAAGCTTAGGTGCCCAGAAGGTAAAGTTTGGATGTTAAGTCCCCTGTTCTCCATAAATTAGAAAGAGCTGGGATAGGGCACAGAGCACTCTCTCTCAGACAAGCTCCAGGGACCTGGGGCGAAGAGATGGAAGGGGCCCAAGGTATTACATTACTTCAGTTTGCTGGGCACATGACCTCAGAGATCGTCCCTCTTCCATTGCTGCCCCTTACAAATCATTTTCCACATTCAAATTGCATGTCACTCCCCAACTTGAAACCCTTCCTCAACATGGCCTTGCTCCCTCCCTGAGCTCCCATCTTAATATTCTCATCCTTTTCTCTAGTCTATTTCTATTCCTTAAACACACCAAGCCCTCTCTCATCTCAGGAACTTTGAACACACTGCCCCCTTTCCCCCTGCAAGGTTCTTACCTCAGTTTCCCACACGGCTGCTCCCACTCATCCTTCAGATCTCTAAACTCACTACTTAAAGTTGCCATTGTTTTCTGAATGTGTCTACTCATTTCTTATCTGTCTACCTTCTCTGGGCTGTGAGCACCAAGAAGGCAGGAATTCTCTCTCTCTTGATCATCATCATTTTCTCTGAGCCCAGCACACAGGACAGTGCCTGGCACATGTTAGGTAGAAGATGGAAACTATGCAGTTGATGACAGGTTCATAGATGGATGGATGGATGAACATGGAGGGATAGATGGCTAGAAGGGAGGATACATCAGTGGGAGAACAGATGAAGAGAAGGGTGGGTGGGGAGACGGACAGATAGATGTATGGATGGGTGGAAGGGTAGAGGAATAAATAGTGGATGAGAGAGTAGATGAAGAGACAGTTGGGATGTATAGATGAATAGATGGAAGAGGATAGAAGAATGGATGGATGGATACAGATGTATAAACATATGGAAGAGTATGTGGACAGATGAGTGTGTAGGTCTTAGTAAATAGGTGGCTAGATGGGTGGATGACTGAGAGAATAAACAGATGATCGGGTGAGAGTGTAGATGGAGAGATGGGTGGGAAGGCACATAAATGGATAGGTGGATGAGAAGGATGGATGAATGACTGTATGGATGGGGTGATGGATAGGCAATGGATGGGTGGATGGATAGCTAAGTGGGTGCATAGATAGATAGGTGGGTGGATGGGTGTATGATTGGGAAGATAAATGAGTAGGTGAGAGGGTAGATGGAGAGAGATGGGAGGTACACAGATGGATGAGAGGGAGGGAGAGAAGGAGGGATGGGGGTCATAGATGTATGGATTTATGTACGGGTCAGTAGGCTGGCAACCCACTCCAGTATTCTTGCCTGGAGAATCCCAGGGACAGAGGAGCCTAGTGGGCTGCCGTCTGTGGGGTCTCACAGAGTTGGACACGACTAAAGCAACTTAGCAGCAGCAGCAGTAGGCTGGATGAATAGATGGGTGGACAGGCAGATAAATGGGTAAATGGAGTTTGGGGTCTGGGAGTACAAGATGTGGGAGTAGATCAATAGATATAAGAAGTGAGGGATGGAAAGATGGATGGATGGGATTGTTTCTGCCCCCAAGCCCAGGAGATGCCCTGAAGAGACTGAAACAAGGGCCCCTCTTACCTCCAGAACGTTGAAGGCATGACCAAGAGCATGGATGGTCAGGTTGGCTGTGGCAGAACGGGGGAGGAAGGAGGCTGGGGAGAAGAGAAGGGTCCCCTCCAGGTTGGCTCCCAGGCTGCCTGATGCTGGAAGAGAAAGGATCAGTGCCCACCACGCCACTCACAGGGCAGGAGCTGACAGCCAAAGGGCTGGAGACAGGGCTAGACACACGGTGCATCCTCTCAGTCAGGACAGGAAGCTCAGATGAGTAGGCCTTACCAAGGGCAGAGAGAAGGTCAGGACAGAGGGTCACGAATGCACCCACATCTACTGATAGGTGGGGGCAGCCAGAGCACCCCACCCTGCCCCCCAACTTTCCAAGCAGCTGAGGGGGGTTGGATACCTAACCTAGAAAGGGGTCTCTTTTTGATTCTGATAATCACAAGGAAGCAGCTGTCTCTGGTTGATGCTAATCTCCCTTTTTAACCCAAGGAAAAGCAGTTCTCAAACTCACAGCCCTCAGCAGGCAAGAATCCAAGTGTTTCACGGTCACTGCATTTCTTTTTAGGACAACCCTATTTTTAGAATTAAACTAATCTTCTGCTAATAGTAGCAATATAAGGTTTTCTTTTAGCATAACAGTAAGTTTAAAAGAACCAGTTTAGAGAAAAGATGGAAGTACTATTTCATTGAATCCTATAACGTGGCTCATACTTAACTATTTTTCACCTCTTCCATCAAAAATGGCAGGTGCTATGGGGATACAGAAAAAAAAAATCAAGCAGATGGCACGTGAATACCTGGACATTGAGGAAACAGACATGGCCACGTGTCCTCCAGAGTCAGAACTCCCGGGTCCCCAGGCCTTTGTGGTCCCCAAGGAGGACAGTGCTGGCCAAAGATGCCCATACCTGAGCGGAAGGTGATGTCAGAGTAGGACGAGTGTTTCCACATCTCTGGATGGAACTCCCGGCTGACAATATCTTCAGGGATGGCCTCCCGTAGGGTCTGTTTCAAGGGGTCGTCCGTCTCCAATAGCTGCAGGAGGTGACTCCACACAAAGGAGCCCACTGGAGTCCGGTTGCAGCCAGCAGGGAGGGGAGGGGAGGGCGATGAGGGAGGACCCACAGCTGACGCAGTACAGAGAAAAGACCCCTGGCCTCCCGCTCCGGGTCCTGCTATTTCTACCCACCAGGGGCTTCTCAGGAGCCTGGCTGCTGAGAACCACGTCCTTTTTGTAGACAAGCGGCAAACAGAGGTGCCTAATGGAACTTGGAAATCTAGGCTGCACAGGGCACTCTGATGCACTTTCCTGAAGGAAAGGGAACCCACTGGAGCCCAGTGGGGACCGGTCTGGTTTGAGAGTGTGGGGAAAGCCCTGGTTTGAAAGTCAGACCTGAGTCTGAACCTCAGTTCCACCACTCATGAGCTGGGTGGCCTTGGGCTGGTCACTCCACTTCTCTGAGCCTTAGTTTCCTCATCGGTAAAATGAACTGTATTGACCCATCTCCCCGGGCTGTTTGCACAGATCAGTCAAGGGCAGAATCTGGACCTAAAGGACTGAATATCTTTTAGGGTTGGGAAGGGGTAAACATGCAATCTGTGATGGGGGCCCTCTGAGGCTCTCTGGAGAGTTAAAAATGAAATGAGTACTGAGGGGAAGGAGTCCAACACAGAATATCATTCTAATTGGGAACACCAGCCCCCTTGCTCATCCCAGGCTCTCAGAATGCCCAGCAGGGGGCTTCTAGAACAATCCACCATGAAACAGAGCTGAGAATGTTTTTGTTCCCATCAGGCAACACACAAGCCTGATACTGCAGGGTCTCTACGAAGGCTGCCTCTTGGCTGACCCCCTCTGAGGGGCTTGGCTCAGTGGTCTATTGATGTAGAACAACCCACCCCATCCCATCCCACCCTAGAAACTGCCAACAACAAACTGCAGCTTCTAGTAGCACCATTTCTTTCCCTTTGGGGGCTGGGGAGGTGTCATTTCTTTCTAAGATAGTTTAGCAGCATCACATCAGACTTTTAAACATGTGTGCACACCTTAATGTTGGCTGAGTGTGTGTGTGCTAAGTCATTTCCATCATGTCCAACTCTTTAAGACCCTATGAACTGTAGCTTGCCAGGCTCCTCTGTCCATGTGGATTCTCCAGGCAAGAATATTGGAGTGGGTTGCATTTCCTCCTCCACAGGATCTTCCCAACCCAGGGATCAAACCTGTGTCTCAACATCTCCTGCACTGGCAGGTGGGCTCTTTACTACTAGCACCACCTGGGAAGCCGCCTACGTTGGCTACTTCTGGGAAATTATCCTCCGGCTAGATTAGCAAAAGGGTCTGAAGGAGGATGGACAGAGAGATTCATTTCGGTTACTGTTTCTCATGGCAAAAGACCAGAAAAAAAAAAAATCTAAGTGCCCATCACTGGGGACTGGTAAAGTGGACTATGGTTTATGCTCCTAGTGGAGCATCCCACAGCTGCAGCTAAGAGCCCAAGTGCCCTGATGTGAAAAGAGCTCCCGGACATACTGAAGGCAGAGGCAAGGGACACAACAGTGTGTACACCATGATCCTGAGCTGCTGCTGCTGTTACGGTGATAACACACCCATGTTCATACATGCACTATACATGTTCTGATGGGACACACGAGAGAATGGTCAAAGTCAGTGCCTTCAGGAAACAGGACTTAGGGATCAGGAGGCAAGGAAGGCGGCCTTTCACTTTCCATTTATATCTTGCCATCTGCTTTGAAATTTTGGCGGCATAATCATAGCAGAGAATGAGATGGCTGCACGGCATCCTTGACTGGACATGAGTTTGAGCGAACTCTGGGAGACGGTGAAGGACAGGGAAGCCTGGCCTGCTGCTGTCCACGGGGTCTCAAAGAGTGGGACGCAACTGAATGACTGAACAACAACAGAAGTAGTGATAATAACACTGAAAGTTAACAGCTATGCCTACAGCACTTACAATGTTCTAAATGCCTTCTCATATTAATCCATTTTATGCTTCCTTTATGAGGAAGGTACTGTTATCCCCATTTCACGGATGGAGAGATGGAGGCTCACAAATGTTTGGTCATTTGCCCAAAGGCACACAGGTAGGAAGTGGCTGAGCTGGGAATTGAACCCAGTCAGGCAGTCCCCAGGGTCTCAACTCACTGTGAATTATGTCAAATCACTGTACACTAGGAAAAAAAACTTTTTGAAAATTAGCTGAGCCTATTTTTTGAAGTTCTACCTGTTTAAACGGAACACTCTGACCCCCAAGATTCGCAGACACTGTCCCTGGTCTGCCTTGAGTCTCTCTTCCTCTCCTCCAGGTACTGTGCGATGACCTGGCCAGAGCTAGAAAGGAGCTCAGCGACTTTCACCCCATTGTACAGATGAGGAAACTGAGGACCAGAGAGAAGCAACTTCTCCTGGGTTGTTCAATTGCCACAGGGGTGAGGGGAGCATGTGAGGCCGCTAGTCCAGATGGCGTGGCAAAAGAAGGGGAACAGAAGGGGACGGGAAGACCCCTGAGGGGTGGAGGCAGAGTGCTCTGGAACCCCTGCACCCATCAGGTGGCACCCAGGCCAGCCCATGGCCCCTCAACACAGCTGCTTACCCTGGGTGGACTGCTCTCCTGCCTGGGTACGCCGCACCTGGGCAAACACCTCCTCTCCCGGGCACCTCATCAGGGCCAGGTAGGCATTGATGCGGATCTCAGAATCCTCCTCAGCGTTTTGGTACAGGCTGTAGAGCATGGACCGCTGCCCCGGGCAAAGAGAAAGCCATCACTCACAGCCCACCCAGAGCCCACCCACCCCCGCCCAGGAGCACCACATCCCCTGTCCGCCCTGGCTCCAGCAGGGGCGCCCGCTGCCTTGACCCGCCCGCCTCTCCCAAAGCCTCCACTGCTCCCAGACACGCTCACCTGTGGCCCGACTGTGGGACGTGGGAGTTTGCCCAGTCACTGCTAATACCTAACTTCCCAGAGCCCCAGCCCAGAGCCTTATCAACTTCCACAAGTAAAAATGGTAAGGGCTTCCCACGTGGTGCCGGTGGTAAGGAATCAGCCTACCAATGCAGGATATGACATGTAGGTTCGATCCCTGGGTCAGGAAGATCCCCTGGACAAGGAAATGGCAACCCACTCTAGTATTCTTGTCTGGGAAATCCCATGGACAGAGGAGCCTGGTGGGCTATGGTCCATGGGGTCACAGAGTCAGACATGACTTAGCAACTGAGCATGCATGCAAACAATGGGTAAACAAGTGGGTGTGGCTACATTCCAAGAAAACATCATCTATGACACATCTGTGAAAACACCATAGCAACAGGCTCACAGGAGGTATTCCCTCTAAAGATATTCCCCATGCCCCCCTTCCTAAGTGAGCCACTTCCCCTACCCCATGATTCTCTCCCTCAGCACCTGCTGCTTTCCTTCACAGCACAGCCATCCACCCATCCACTCATGCAGCAATATTAACTGAGCATCTATTATGTGCCCAGCAAGGTGACAACTGTGAGCAAGACAAACCCCACTCTGTCCATCTGAAGCTTACATTCTAGTGCAGAGAGATAGATAGTAAACCAGGTGAATATATAATATGTTGCTGCATGCTTCAGTAGTGTCTGACTCTTTGCAATCCTATGGACTGTATCCCTCCAGGCTCCTCTGTCCATGGGATTCTCCAGGAAAGAATACTAGAGCAGGTTGCCCTGCCCACTTCCAGGAGATCTTCCTGACTCAGAGATCAAACCCATGTTTCTTACATCTCCTGCATTGGCAGATGGATCCTTTACCACTAGCACCAACTAGTAAGCCCATAACTGCTAAAAAGAGAAAAATAGGGAAGCCGGAGGCCTGGGGGAGCCTGAAAAGGTCAATTGCAGGTAAAACAGCCAAGGAAGATCCCCCAGGGTAAAGTGATTTCTAAGTAAAAACCTCCTGGAGATAAAGGAGAAAAGCCTAGGGAAATAGAGAGGAAAGGCATTCCAGGAAAGGAGAAGGACATGTGTAAATGACCTGAGGCAGAAGTGAGCCCTGGAGGCTTGATGATCAACAGGGAGACCAGCGTGGCTGGGCAGGAGTAGTGGGGGTGAGAGAAGCAGGAAATGAAGCCAAGAGGTGCTATGGGTCAGGGGTCAGATCACAGGAAGGACTCTGACTCTAAATGAGACAGGAGCCACTAGTCTAAGGGTCAGCAAACTTCCTGCTAAGGGAAAGATTGTCAATTTTTTTTTTTTTTTGCCTTTGCAGACCATACAGTCTCTCTTGCAACTACTCAACTCCACAATCGTAGCAAGAAAGCAGCCCAGACCACACGTCAATGAACAGGCAGAGCTGTGTTCCAACAACACTTTACCTACAAGAACAGGCAATAAGCTGGATGTTGACCACGGACCTTGCTGACCCCTGATCCAGTGGGCTTGCAGCACAGATAACTTATGTGTGGTTTGTCTGTAAATACACGCTTACTTGGGTATTCAATGAATATATGCCCCCCTACCCCAGATACAGGCTCTATGAAAACAGAGGCCTGGACACCTGTTCACACCAATGCCCGGCATATAGTAGGTGCTCAGTAAATGCAATGAATGATTGAGCAAATGAAGACGTGAATTAACAGTGATTCAAGACCCACTCCTGCCCAATGCCAACCCCAGTGAAATAACTCCCAGGAGCTCACGTCTGCAGAGCAGGGAACCCTCCGGAAGGCCTGGATGGCCCCCAGCCGGATCTCAGGGGGGCAGCTCCCCAGGGAGGCACAAGTGCTCAGCTTGGGGGTGAGAGCCGTGGCCGCCCGGCCAGCATTGCCAATGGCCTTCAGCACGAACAGGAGCTGAAACAAGATGACGGTGGGGCCTTGAGGTTGGTGGGGGCGCCCAGCCCACCCGCCCAGTCCACAGCTCACCTGCTTGACAGGGACCCCCTCAAGGGGCCACGCCCAGGATGTGGGCTGTCCTCACCTGATCAGCGTCTGAGGGCTCCTGGAAGGTGCAGTTGGCACCCACGGCATCTCCCAGGATCCTCACGAGGGAGCCAACACCAGGCAGTTGCTCACAGGGCCCGTCCAGAGACACACACAGGTTGTGCACCAGAGCCGAGATGCCCAGGAAGGCGCTGGCGCTGGCCCCCGGGGCCTGCAGCAGAGGCTGGGGACAGAGACCAGCCCCCACCCCAGCCAAGAAGCCTGGTGAGGGGTCTTTCACAGGCCTCCCCTTGGGACGTTTCTTAAAAATACGGACGCCCAGCCCCTACCCCAGCACTCCTGAGGGTCTGAATAAACTGCCTGTGGTGTGACCTGCAGGGAGCATTTCTTAAAATGCCCCAGGGGGCTCCCCTGGTGGCTCAGTGGTAAAGAATTTGCCTGCCAGTGCAGGAGACACGGGTTTGATCCAGGAAGATTCCACGTGCCACGGGGCAACTAAGCCCAAGTGCCGCAACGACTAAGCCTGTGCTCTAGAGCCTGGGAACAGCAACTACTGAAGCCCATGCACCCTAGAGCCCTTGCTCCACAACAAGAGAAGCCCGGGCAATGAGAAGACCACGCACCACAACCAGAGAGTAGTCTGGCTCCCCACACCTAGAGAAAAGTCCACACAGCAATGAAGACCCAGCACAGCCAAAATTAAACAAATCAATAAAAACATTTTTTTTCAATGCCCCAGAAGACCTCTTCTGTGCATCCAGGATGGACAACAGTATCTCAGGCTAACAGGGGATATTTGGCAAGGCTGGAGACAACATAAATTGTCACAACTGGGGGGCAGTGCGTTCTTGTGATGGGATGAGAGAACAGATACAGTCCAGAGAGGCATGAGAACGGGCAGGAGACAGGCGAGCGAAGAGCCTGGACTCCAACAGCCCAGGGACCCATATGCTCTGTTCCCTGTGTGTCCCTGGCAAGTGGTACCAGTGTGTGCATAACACTTGGCCCACGGCATAACGACTATCAGTCCGCACCATCCCAAGGCAAAGAGAGCACCTTGCCTGAGGTGGTGCTGGTAAGGGACCAGGCTGGGGTGGGAGGTGGCATCGCCTTTAAGAGTCTGCGCTTTAAGTCCCCCGCCCCCCACACTTCTGCACTTCTGCTGAGCAGAGGAAGGAGGGAGAGAGAGGAAAGAAGGGGGAGCCCAACCCCGCCGGCACTGGCTGAGCCCCCACGGGCCCTGATGTCTGTGTGGCCACCGTAGGACCTGTTAGGCTGTCAGCACTGCCCCCGGGGCCCAGTCCTGGCCTGGCTCTGACTCAGGGCCCAGTTCCCTGCTGAACGGGGCCAACCACACAGCCTGCATGGACTGGCCCCACTGTAAATGCTTGCATCAGGGGCCGGGGGACGGGGCGAGTGCTCCCTACACTCCACCTGGACAGCAGTCAAGAGTCCGACCAGCATGAGGGACTGCGAGATCCTGCTGGAGACCCCTCCCCTCCATCAGCCAGCCCAGGGGTCTCCCATACACTCCCCGCTGGTGGCCTCTGAGTCCTGGCCCACTGCCAATCTGGACGGGTAGAGTGAGGAGTGACAAGTTAGCCCGCCCCCTGGTGGGTGAGGACACGCCCCCAGGTGGTGAGGACACGCCCCCAGGTGGTGAGGACACGCCCCTCGGTGGTGAGGACACGCCCCCTGGTGGGTGAGACACGCCCCTCAAGTGAGTGAGGACACGCCCCACGGCCCAAGAAAAAGGCACAGCAGCTGCATCACCTGGGCCAGCTGCCCAGCCTCCTTGGGCCTCAGTTTCCTCATCTCTAAAGTGGGAGGGATAAGAGCACCTACATCATAGAGGCATCATGGGGGTTAAATAGGACCTCCTTGTGTTGTTAAAAATTGCTAGCCTAGTTTCACATGCTTTCCTAATCCTGAGACTCATCAAATACACTTGATTACAAGAACAGCAGCAGCTCTAAGCCGCTGGGTCTCCCCACGAGGCATCCAGACAAGTGCTTTACATTCAGCATCTCATTTCTCACCACGAGCCCAAGAGGCAAATACTGTTCGATCTCCATCTTACAGATCAGAAAAACAGGCTCAGATAGGTCAGGATCACGCAGCTGGCAGGGACACTGCTGAGACTCAAACCCAGTTTCTCTGATCTGCCTCCACCGGCCCCACCAGGCAGAGGCCCAAAGCCTGGAGGACCGCAGGTCCCCGCCCCTCCCTGCTGCGTCCAATCAGCAGCGGAGCAGGGGAGGGACCGCACGGGTAGGGGCAGGGCACAGGGCTCACCAGCAGCGCGCGGACCATAGCATCAGTGGGCTCCGGGACGAAGGCCAGCGACCAGAGCCACGCCTCTGTCTCGTCTGCCTCCACCTCCCCGGACACGATGAGCTCTGCCATGAGGCCCACGCAGGCCTCGGTGCCACAGGAGGGCAGGGCATCCACCAGCGGCTGCCTGACATGGAGAGAGGCCCAGGGAACGTCACGACGGTGGCCTACAGGCCCAGGTGCCCTCCAGGACTCCTCTCTCACGTAGCCTCCAGTCATCTGGGAGCAATCAGAGGCTGAGAGAGGTAAGGCAGGGACGTGTCCATGCTCACACACCCAGAAAGGGGCTGAGCCAGACCCAGGCAGCCTGGCCAGGATTCTGTGCTCTTAGGGCCCCGGAGACACCAGCAACCCCATCTGAAAGTGTTAGTCGGTCAGTTGCATCCAACTCTTTGCAACCCCATGGATTTAGCCCACCAGGCTCCTCTATCCATGGCATTCTCCAGGCAAGAACACTTGAGTAGGTTGCCATTCACCTCCTCCAGGGGATCTTCACAACCCAAGGATTGAACCCGAATCTCCTGCATTGCAGGTCGATTCTTTACCATCTGACCTGCCAAGGAAGCCCAGCCTAAACCTTGGCAGTTCTGCCCACTGTTGGAGACACAGCAGTTTGGGGAGATGTGAGTCCCTGCCCACTGCTCTCCCAAAACCAGCCACATTCACCTCATAGGATAAGAATCCCTGTGTAGAACAAGAGTCAACAACTGGCAGGTGGCCCCACATTAAACAGAAGCCCCATATTAAACCGCTAATGCTCTCAGCCCCAAATCACAATCTCTCCTTTTTCTTTTTTTGAAATGTACAGAAAGGTTGGGATGTTCAGGAGAGGTTTTGAACATTTGCACAGTGATGGGTCTAAATGGGGAGATGATGGCTGAATGGGGGTGGGTGCCTCAATTATAGTAGGAATGGGAGGTTCCCAGGACTCACACAGGCATCAGGACACACGGGGCAGAGTGGATTGGGCCCCCCACCCTATCAACCCTGATGAGTGACATCCATGGCCACAGAGGGCCAGGCATCCCACCCGCCCTCAACTCACACACACCATCTGCTCATAAACAGTCTCTGGCCTCAATTTATTCATCTGTAAAATGGGAATGCTGATGACCAGGCCAGCTCCAAGATGACCACGAGGCCTCAGGAACACAAGCCTCTTCATCTGGGGATATCCCACCTGCCCTTCTCATCTCTCACCCTTGTGTTTCCTCCCTTTCCCTTATAGATTTGGGCCCAGGAAAACCAGGCTCTGGGCAGAAATGGAGGAGGAGGTGAGGGCAAGAGAAATCTCTCAAGAGTATCAGTCCTCTTGGAAACTTCTAGATTTGGGGATGGTATCCCTGCCTCCCTGACTCCTAACATCTAGGTAGACGAGCGAGACACAGGGGCTTGTGGGAATATCCCAAGTGACAAGTAGGATGAGTCACGAGGGGAACAGGGGACTCCACATGGAGACTCGGAGGCCCATCCCTACAGCAAAGACAGCTAAAACGTTCACAAGTCCAGTCTCACTTACATTTAAGAGCCTAAGAATTTGATGGATAAGCACAGACCACCTGGGTTCAAATCTAAACTCTGCTGTGTGACTTTGGGTAAGTTTCCTAACTGCTCTGTGCCTTTGTTTCCTTCTACAACTGTTACATAGGAATAAAACCAGCTACCTCATGGGCTCATTGTGAGGATTAAATAAGTGAATACAGACAAAAGGCTTGGAAGGTATCTGTGCGTTATTAGCTATTAAGTTTGGTATTCGTTCAAATAGACATGTGACAGTATTGATTCACGGGCTTCCCTGGGGGCTCAGACTGTCTGAAGAATCTGCCTGCAATGCAGGAGACCTGAGTTTGATCCCTGGGTTTGGAAGATCCCCTGGAGAAGAGAGTGGCTACCCGCTCTAGTATTTTTGCCTGGAGAATCCCCATGGACAGAGAAGCCTGGTGGGCTATGACGGGGCCCCGCAAAGAATCGGACACAACTTAGCAACTGAACAACAATGTTGACACGGTGGGTGGCGGGGGGTTGGGGGGGCTCTCTTTCTTATTTCTCAGTCAATAAAATTTTTTTTCAGGTCTCAAGATCTGAGAGCCTTTGAAAAGCTCACAGACCTGAAATCTGGATCTCGCAGGCCTAGTGAACAGCTGAACTTGGGAAAGGAGCTACAAGTTTCCCCCCTCGACCCCCTACAGCCCTCTGCCCCTGGAGGTAGGACCTCAGAAGTTCCCCTCCACCCTTGGGGTCTCTCTATACCCCTTGCTGGCCGCACATCAGCAGGGTGGATCCCAGCCCTGCCCAGCACCCCCCCACTCACAGCAGAAGGGAACCCAGGGCGCATTGGAATGCTAATTCCAGCTCCGAGACCCTGTGTGGGGAGGGAACAATGCCTGTCTTTATCCCCGCCAGGCCCCACAGCCTCCAGTCTCCCCAGACTCCAGTCTCCAGCCCCCGTGGGAACCTCCAAGCTCCCCGCTTAACCGTCTTCTTGGCAGATGTCCCCAGACTGAAGGACAAGTCAGGAATGAGATAACATATCACAGGGATGAGCTGAAATGTCACCATCCATCTCTCGATGGTGACCTAGGACAGCAGCAAGATTATCCAGCCCCACCAGGACCCCCCAGCCAACTCCTGGCCCAGCCCCCAATTCAGTGAGAGGCCCTTACCAGTTGTCTCGGCATTTAAAAGAAAGTCCCCAGAGTTCCATGAGCTCATCTGCAGAGAGGCCGCGGAGCTCAGTCACTAGCGTCAGGAACAGTTCCGTGGCCTGGAAATCAGAGGGGGCAGCGTGAGAGACTCGAACCCCAAAGGTCACCTCATCCATCCCTGTCTCCAGATGTGCTTAGTCGCTCAGTCATGTCTGACTCTTTGCAACCCCATGGACTAACCCCCCAGGCTCCTCTGACCATGGGACTCTCTGGGCAAAAATACTGGAGTGGTCGCCATTTCCTTCTCCAGGGGATCTTCCCGACACAGGGATCGAACCCATGTCTCTCGCATTGCAGGCAGATTCTTTACCAGCTGAGCCATCAACATGGCTGAAAAGAAGGTGGGAACTCCAGTATGTCCCAACAGCTTCACAGACCCAAAGAGATGAGGCTGCTCATATGGGCTTCTTTCCACTGAATCCCAAGCTCCTGGCACACAGGCTAGCCCACTTTTATTCTTTAACAAGCATTTATTGGGCACCTACTATGTGCCAGGCATACATAAGGGCCAGGGACATGGGGGAAAGGAGAGATGGTGTCTGTATTTGTGGGCTTTATGCTCTAATAAAAGCTCTAATAAAAGTGACTGAGTGGGAAAGAATCCACCTGCAATGAAGGAGACTTGCATGAGATGGGGTTTCGATCACTGGGTCAGGAACATCCCCTGGAGAAGGATATAACAACCCACTCCTGTATTCCTGCCTGGGAAATCCTATGGACAGGGGTGCCTGACAGTCAATGGGGTTGCAAAAGAGTCAGACACAACTGACCAACTAAACAACATGTTACAATGATCGTAATTATTATGATGAGTCCTACCATATTTCACAGTTTCTGATATTCCCAACTAAAAAACTATGTGAATGTTTTTCAGAATTATGAACAGTGATGGCTAATCGGCAGGGATTTGCAGCTTTTGCTCCTTGTCTACAGGTCTGACCAGCGCAGTCACCAAGTCTCCAAACACTCGAGGAAATAAAGGACTCTATTCAGAGCCCACACCTCTAGGAGTTTCAGGAGATAGTGGGTTTGGGATGCTGGCCCCACATCCTGCCTTCCCTCCCCAGTGCCCCCTCAGTCTCAGATTTGTTGCCTCAACCCAAACCCAAAGCCACAGAAAGAGTGATGAGGTTCCTGGCTTCCTGCTGGGCTTGGTCAAGGCCAAGAGTGAGCCCTCACCCCACCCAGCCAGGGCTCCACGGCTGCAGGGACGGGCTTGCGTCACTCGGGCCTCCTCTGCTCTGAGCGGCTGAGACTGAGTTCTGTGCACACAGCTTGACTTCGGCCGGACGCAAATGCAGCACAGGCCTCATGGGCCAGCCCTCCCACCAGAGTGTCTGCCCCCAGGGTGGACAAGCATCCCGACTGTGTGACTTCTGCTGGCGGAACTGGTGTGTGTGTGTTGTGAGTGTGTGTTTTCACTTCAGTCGTGTCCAACTCTTTGAGACTCTATGGACTGTAGCCCGCCAGGCTTCTCTATCCATGGGATTCTCCAGGCAAGAATGCTGGGCGGGGGGGGGTTGCCATGCCCTCCTCGACAACATCGATGCACAACAGTAATAACAACAGCAATGGTCGCTTTGTGTGGAGCCTCGACTGTGGGCCAGGCGCTGTTCTAGGCACTTTATAGGCACCACTTCATTTGACCTTGACCCTACGAGAGCCCATGACTGTTCTCACTTAACAGAGCATTTAAGTCAGGTGACAGCGGCCACAGGACTTCTAAGTGGCAGAGCCGAGACTTGAACCCACACTCTTAACCAGCATCCTGTACTCAAGGCCCTGGAGGGGGGAGATAAAAAGCCCCGATTGCCAGTTTCTGTGCTATCAATACTCCCACTGTGGCCCATTACCAGCAGCCCAGGTGCCATCACTGACCGCGGACGTGGGGGTCACTGCACAGAAGCAAGCCATTGTCCCCGTTTCTATCCTACAGTGGGTGCCAAGAACCACCAGTGCAAAGATGAAAGTGTAGTAAAATAACTAGCGGGCGATGGTATTGAGTACTCATGACCTTCGTTTTGAATATGATTCATTTTCACTGTAAATGGGTATGACAGTCTTTTGCTTAATTGGAGTATCGTTGCTTCCCTGCTGGCTCAGAGGGTAAAGAATCCACCTGCAGTGCAGGAGACCTGGGTTCATATGCCTGGGTTGGGAAGATTCCCCTGGAGGAGGGCATGGCAGCCCCCTCCAGGATTCTTGCCTGGAGAATCCCCATGGACACAGGAGCCCGGCAGGCTACAGGTCATGGGGTCGCAGAGAGTCAGACACGGCTGGGAGGCCGAGCACACACAGTTGCCTTACACTGCTGTGTCAGTTTTTCAGTTTCTATTGCAGAGGGAATCAGCCTTTCATACACACGTATCCCCTCGTTTTTAGATTTCCCTCCCATTGTGGCTAACAGGTGGCACTAGTGGTAAAGAACCTGCCCACCAATACAGGAGACATAAGAGATGCAGGTTCGATCCCTGGGTGGGGAGGATCCCCTGGAGAAGGGCATGGCAACCCACTCCAGTATTCTTGCCTGGAGAATCCATGGACAGAGGAGCCTGGCGGGCTATAGTCCGTGGGGTCGAAAAGAGACACAACTGAAGCGAGTTAGCTCTAGCACCCGTCTAGGTCACCACAGAGCACCGATAAAGTTCCCTGTGCTATACAGTAAGTTCTCATTAGAGCATAACTGAATCTTTGGTAATGTCTGCTTACCAGCCAACCTGCAGGATTTCCAGAGGCTAACCATCAGCTCTGGCAAGTCAGCACAAGCCAGCCTGGCACACCACCATCCACACTTGGCTGCACACACAGTTGGCGGGCAGTGGGTGTCTGTGATGGGGGTGCTCTGAGTACCCCAGATGGTGGTCAAGAGCTGTGCCCTCCCTCAGGCATCCTCCCTGGCAGCCCGGGGGCACGGGGGGCACTGACCTGCCCAGCTTCTCTCCCCATCTTCTCCTTCACTCCACTACGCTCTTGGCCACCCCAGGCCGCTGCCCCCCACATCGAAACCCCAGGGCCTCTCTGCAGAGGGTCAGGCTGGGGAATTTGCTGTCTATTGAGTCCCAAGCCCTGGTTTTGTTTCCAAAGTGAAAAACCCATCTTGTCTCCTGCCGCCAACAATGGGGTGGGGCGAAGGCATTCCCAGCCCAAGCCCACGCGGCCATCCCCCTGGTAACCGGTGGGCCCTCTCCTGGGGAGAGGGATGCGAAACACCGCTTGATGTGCACTGAGGCATCCCCAAAAAGCTATTCTCAGGAACAAAGTCCTCGGCAATTCACCCCAGCCCAGGGGACCTCCCTGGTGGGAACAATTTGCTTCCTTGTTAGCGCTATAAAGACAGAACAGCCACCCCACGCCCTCTGGGGCCAGCACTGCCAGTCTGCAGGAGGGGAGATAGGCCCGCGACATGCCTGGCCCTGAGCTGCCTCTGCTGGGGAAATGCCCTGCCAGGGGGGCGGAGGGTGGTGCTCTGGAGGCCAGATGGAGGGAGGCAGGTTGGAACACAGGAGGCAGAGCAGTGGTTCTCAATGGGGGTGAGCGTGCTCCCCAGGGGGCTTAGGTAACACGTGGAGACACTGGGTTATCATGACAGGGATGGAGGTGATGGTGACACTGGTGGGTAGAGGTCAGGGAGGCGGCTAAACATCCGACAGTGCATAGGGCACCCCAAGGGGTCAGGAGCGCCAGGGTGAGAATCCCTGCCGTGGGGGCCAGGGTGCCTGGGCGAACAGCCGGCTCCGTCACCCACTGGCCAGAGGCTTGCAGCACCACCTCGCGGGGCTGAGGGCCCTCTCCTTTGGGCTGCTGACTTCTCTCTGACCACCACAAAGACCCCCAGGTCAGGGATTCCAGAGAGCAATGAGCTGGGGCCTTGGCTCCCGGTCCCCAAAACAATGAAGAACCAGTGCAAGTATGTCTCTGCTATGTACACGCAAAATGTACAATGTGTGTGTACATCCGTGAGTCTTCAATATATACATATATATGGTCTATATTTACTGACTACATGTTCAATGTATTTTACACAAATTCAAAATAGTCCATTTTCTTTGGCTGCCACGCAGCTTGTGGAATCTTAGTTCCCCAATCAGGGATCAAATTCAGGACCTCAGCAATGAAAGTGCAGAGTCTTAACTGCTGGACTGCCAGGGAAGTCTCAATATATTCTTGGGTGTGTGTATTTGTTGTTGTCTAGTCACTAAGTCATGTCTGATTCTTTTGTGACCTCATGGACTATATAGCCCACCAGGCTCTTCTCTGTGTGGGATTATCCTGGCAAGAATACTGGAGTGGATTGCCATTTTTTCCTCCAGAGTATGTGTGTATGTGTGTGTGTCTGTGTGTGTCTGTGTGTGTCCTGAGAGATCTCTAGGATGGGCCAGGTCCAGAAGGTTAGTCTGGGGGCCCGAAAGGACCGTGTGCCCACAGACAGACCGATGAGAAGGAGGCCCCCTCCAGGCTCCTGTCCAATCAGCACTAGGTCAAGGTTTGCACACACCTGCTAGATTTCTTCCTTTTGCTTTCACGACCAGGCAAAGCTGTGCAGTACATAACCTGCCCAACAGTACACAGCATCTCTAATATAGAATATTCTACCAAGTAGACCTTAAAGGATCTGGTAGGAAGAGGAGGGTGTCCCAGGACCCCAGGCCGACCCTGGCCCTGGGACTGGAGAAGCCACTTACCTCAAAGCTTGTGGCCTGAGCCAGGCACAGCTTCCTCACTGATGCAGCCCCTGTGGCCATCGTAGCTTGGGACGGGGTCTCCTCCCATTCATAGAGCAAGCTGCTCGGGGTTAAGTCTCCACTGTCTGAATCTGAGGTGGGAGGTTCTTAGCAGGGACGACCACATGGGGAGAAATGTCAGAGTGAGTGGAAGGACCCCTGGGAGCCGCTCCCACACCCTGCCAAGGCTTCCTTCAGTATGTTTCTGGCAACAGGTGAGGAGAACACACACAAGAAAATCATGCCAGTGTTACTGCTGACAGCAAAAGACGGGAGACAGTCCGTGTGCCCATCAGTAAGGGATGGGCCCGATAAGGTGACCCCAAAACCCTCTGGAAATTGCCAGAGGAAACATGGAAACCTCCTCCATGGAATGGAAGATTATTCAGCAAGAAAAAGAAATGAAACTGTGACACATGCTATAACACGGATGAACCTTGGGAAGATAGGTTCATCCCATAGGATAAACCTATGAGAAGCAAAAGAAGCCAGTTATAAAAGGTCACCTACTATCTCATTCTATTTATACAAACTGTCCAGAATGGAAAAATCTAGAAGTAGAGGGTAGATTAGTGGTTTCCAGGAATTGGGGGAACAGGAGGTGATGGCCAATGGGTGCAAGGTTTCTTCTGGGGCGACAAAAATGTCATAAAGTTGATTCTGATGATGAATGGACAACTGTGACTCTCTTAGAAGCCACTGAATTATTCACTTTAAATGCACGAACTAGACAGTATGTGAAGTACATCTCAATTACACCTGTTTAAAAAAAAAGATTAAAAGCTCATTCAACTCAATGGGCAACCACCAGGCAGGTCCTGAAACTAGATGCCCCAGTCATGGCCAGTGTCTGTGCTTGAGGGAGGCCTTGGGGGGGGCAGGTCAGCCTAGGATCTCAGCCTATGCTCCATGGAACCAAACAGAATGCTGGGAAAACCCAGGGCTTCAGTCCCCATCTGCTGGGTTCTCCCTGGGGTGGTGCAGGCAGCAAGTCTATTCTCTGAGGCAAACCTGATTATCCACCAGGGCTGTGGAAAAGACCCCATGGATCCAAGTCCCAGCTCTGCCTCTCATTAGCTCTGCGACTTCAGACAAGTCATTTTTACTTCTTGGACACAGCTTCCTTCAGTAAAAAAAAAATATAACTAAAAACAACAGTAACTTCCTAATGGGGTCATGATGAGAATTAAATTAAATAATCCACATAAAACACTCAGCACAGATACTGGCCCACAGGAAATCCTTCTGAACTGTCAGCAGTAAGAATTAACCATCCTTACTTCCTGATTCAGGGAGACAGCCATTTTTTTCACCATGGAAAAAAATATTTATCTCTTTCCCTCAGATGCATGCCTCACTTTGTTTCTTTCTGGACAAAAATCCTAAAAGGGAACCATGCTCCAGGGGATGCTCTAAGTTGGCAGGAACTTTCCAGAAAATCAGGAAACCTGAGTCAGCTCACCCCCAAAATGGTCAGGTCCAAGGGTCATCAGGTGTAAGGTGGATTCTCCCACAAAAGCTGGGAACCAGAAGATGCCATCACCACTGAGAACAACCCAGAGGAGGCCAAGACCAAGCCTGAGAGCCATGTGAGCAGACAGAAACTTCTAGAAAAAGAGGCCGACCCTGACAATGGCCACTTTCAGAAGGTGTTCAAGGGTGTCCAGACAGGGACACAGCAGTGGAACCTCTGCTTGCTGGAGCCCCTCTGGTCTGAGGAGACTGGGAGGCTCACCTAAGGGTCCGGGGCCACCCCCCCACCCCCATCACCTGTGACAGCCGGGTCCTGGGGTATCTCCTGCAGCAGGGAGAGCGAGGAAAGGGTCCACATCAGCGCAGCATCTGCCTCCCTGGAGAGGGGCCCCGCGGTGTCCAGCTGCGTGCAGGAGGCCTCCCGCAGCACGCCGGCCTGCAGACTCTGGACGCAGGTCAGGCGGGAGGCCAGGCCAGACTGCTGGACCATATGGGGAAGAGGCGGAGGCTCAGGCCAAGCCTTGGGAGTGAGGGAACCCCCAGAACCCCCAAATCAGTAGCAAGGCTGGGGGGAGCCCACTGGGGACTACCATGGAGCTTCGGGGCTACCCTGGAGTGTCAGGATCCCCCTCCCCATAGAGGTGGGAGACCAAGGGAGGCAAGAAAGAGCAGTCAGCGGTCACCCCAAGGGGAGGAAGGATAAAGCCTCAATTGGAAAATGAAGATGGCCAGCGCCTGCAGTCCTGCATATGCTTCTAGATGCTGAGACTGTATTAGCCGTGTTAACAGTGATCACCTCCTATCCTTATATAGACGCCTACTGTGTACATTGTGGTGTTGGAGAAGACTCTTGAGAGTCCCTTGGACTACAGGGAGATCCAACCAGTCCATCCTAAAGGAAATCAGTCCTGACTGTTCATTGGAAGGACTGATGCTGCAGCTGAAACTCCAATACTGTGGCCACCTGATGCGAAGAGCTGACTCATTTGAAAAGAGCCTGATGCTGGGAAAGATTGAGGGCAGGAGGAGACGAGGACGACAGAGGATGAGATGGTTGGATGGCATCACCGACTCAGTGGACCTGAGTTTGAGCAAGCTCTGGGAGTTGGTGAAGGACAGGGAGGCCTGGCGTGCTGCAGTCCATGGGGTCGCAAAGAATCGGACAGGACTGAGCAACTGAACTGAACTGAACTGTTTACACAACACTTTGATCTGCAGGGACCTTGGAAGAGAGAGAAGGAAAAGGGAAGAGGAGGGAAGGGGAAGTGGAGGAGAGTTAGGGGTGGGGGAGAGGAAGAGGCGCGATGAGGAAGTCGGGGAGGGGAAGGACAGAGCCTGGGAGGGGGGAGAAGGGAACAGGGAGTGGGCCAGGAAGGGAGGAGCGGCCAGAAGGCAGGACAGGAGAGAGGACGGGGTAGGGGCAGCCCCGCTCTCACCTCCTCGGAGGCGGGCAGGGCCTGCGAGCGCAGGGAGGCGCGCACCCTGCGCAGGGAGCACCGCGTCAGGTCCTTGGTCTTGTGCAGCCTGCTTCCGAGTTGCTGGTACGTGGTGGGACACCTGCCCAGGATGTCCACCTGGGCGAGCGGGACCCAGTCAGCGCCCGGTCCCCATCACTCCATCACCCACCCCCTCTCGAGACTCGGAACTCACCTCCTCCACGGTCTGGGGGTCGCGGGCACCCGGATGACCCTGCAGGAGGCTCAGCACCGCCCGCTTCACGTTCAGCGCCCAGCGCGGCTCGGCGGTGTGGGGGCACAGGCGGACCACGCGCCCCGCTTGCAGGACGAAGCGCAGCGGCTCGCGGCCCAGGACAGCGCTGCGCGGGGGTGGGCGTCAGGGGAGCCCATCTAAGGCCCCAGGCCACCTCTTCTCTGCTACCGCAACCTTGCCCCTCCAGCGTGGGCCCCTCCCATAGGTCAGTCCCGTAGGAAGCACCCAGCTACCCCCACGCCCCGCCCAAATGGCCTGGCTTCCTAACGGCTCAGCTCCAGCCGGGTCTCAACCAAACTACAAAAAAGACAGCCAAGTCTGTGCTTGAAGCTACTCCCAGCCTTGTCGCCACCCGAATAAAATGGGTGAACCCGGCTTGGGGGGAAAAAAAGAGAAAAAGCTGAGCTTCCCAGGGCGTCCTGCATTGCAAAACTTCTCATTTTCCCAGCCCGCTCACGTTATATAGGAGGGAACCTGAGGCTTGGAGCAGTAAGGTGACTTGTTCAGGGCCACAGCTGGGATTCGAACCCAGGCAGGATGGCTCCAGAGTCACAGGTCTCAGACACCCTGAGCTGGAAGTTGTGGAGCCCTGCACCAAGGTCACAGGATAAAAATCTCTGGAACTGACCAGCCCCCATAGCAACTGTTGCCATGAGCCTCCAGATCTAACCCTGAAACCCTATTAGGTAAAATACCCATCCTATTACCCACCCTATAGCATCCTAACCAATCACATAATGCCACCCTTCCAGTAGGAGTTTTCTCTGTCTTGAGGTTCTAAAAAAGTGGCTGCTCGCCCGCTAAAGGGTTCGGCTCTCCGTTGAGCCAGCCTGCTGTTCTACCAGGGTCTCCCACTCTACTAAACTTTATTCTCCTCTCATTCTGCCTGGTGTCTGGAAATTCTTTTCCAACCTGCACACGGACCATGGCAGAAGTGACTTAGGCTCCAGCCCTGTAGAAACGAGGGAACAAGGCCCAGAGAGGGAGAGCAACCGGAGAGGACCACGCAGCAAGTCTGGGAGGAGCTGGGTCCAGAATTCAGCCCAGTGCGCTTCCCGTCGCCCCTCACCTGACACAGACCAGGAGCCTGTGTCTGGTATGGCCTGGCGAGGGAGAGGATAGGGCAGGTTGGGGGCGAGGGCTAGGGGAGTACTCCCCTTTGTGGGGGGCGTTGAAGAGGGAGGTGCCCTGTGATGAAGGGGAAACTGGCAAAGCCCCAAACCCCACTGGCCAGCCAGCAAGCAGAACCTTGGGGGACACAAGTGTCCCTACTGAACGTCCCCGGGGAGGTCACTGCCCCTTCTCCAGCTCCAAGTGGAGTCTGCCCCCTCCCCCCAACCGTGGCAGCCCCCAGGGTCTCAGGCCTCAAGCTAGAGAAATGTTAATGGCACCCGCCCCTTCTGGAATAGCTAGGGTCAGTCTGGTCTCTCCAGGAGCTAGCAGCCCTGCGCACTGACTTAGCATTTCTGATGAGACTCCCCAGGGACAATAGCCCTGGCTGCCCCCTTGGAGAGGACCCCCCTAAGCTTTTCACTGGGGATCCATTTGCCCCTGGCAGCTCCCCCATCTCTGTATCCCTGCACAAAGGCTTTATTATTTTTTTTTAACAAATGAATTTGCAATCAAAAAGGAAGAGGAATCTGCGGAGATGGGCTTGTCTTCAGGCTGGCGGCTGGACTGAGCTTTGTGGCCAGGAAGCCACTGTCAGGAGTCCCTGGGAAACACGCCGAGGGAGAATTCCAGGCTTGGCTGGGTCACCAAGGAGAGCTTGGCTTAGGAGGGGAGAAAGAAGCTATGGGTCTCCAGGAGAACCCCCCATCTCAGCAAGGGGGAGGAGTAGAAGGGCAGGCATCAATGGGTGCCCAGTGTCTTCCAGAATGTTCTTAAGGATGAAGCCCAGAGGGTGCTGGGCAGACATAAAATCTGGACATGCTGGGAGTGACAGCCAGGAAAATACAGGGTGAGAGTTCCTTCCTCCAGATAAGGGAAGGTCATCTGAAACTATTTGGAGCCGCTCAAGGCTCCCACATCACAACAACCCCCAACGGTCCTCATCAATGGCCTGGGTGTTTACAAGGTCAAAACAAAGATGGAATCCTCTTTGAACCTCAATCCAAAATGGCCTCTCTCTACTGAAAGGGGGTTACCCTAATTGGGTTCTTTCAATACAATCTGGTGCACCCAGTGCCCGGTGACCATCGGAAAAGGAAGCAGGGCTCACATTAGCAGCCCCATGGGGAGCAAGGCCCAGCGTCTTACCTCAAACTCTCTGACTCCTTCAGAACTTCCACCTTGGACCCCAGGATGGATGTCAGCTGGAAGTGCTGGAGCTGAAGCAGGATGCACTAAGTTGGTAACATCTCCTGGGATATTCCAGGACCACACCAGCACCCCCTTCCCCACCTAAAGTAGTTCTGGGCCCCCTCGTGATTCATGTTGGTGAGGAAAGGATAGGCAGGGAGATCTGCCCCTTGAGCAGTATCCATTTTTTTAATGCTAAAAACATAGCAAACAACAAAATTGCAGCAGTACACAATTTGCCTTGTGAAGACCGACCCTGTAGGAAAAACAACCCCTACAGTTTTGATGGAGATTAAAGGACTGAAACTCCAGTACTTTGGCCACCTCATGCGAAGAGTTGACTCATTGGAAAAAGCCTTGATGCTAGGAGGGATTGGGGGCAGGAGGAGAAGGGGACGACAGAGGATGAGATGGTTGGATGGCATCACCGACTCAATGGACATGAGTTTTAGTAAGCTCCAGGAGTTGGTGATGGACAGGGAAGCCTGGCGTGCTGCAGTCCATGGGGTCGCAAAGAGTTGGACACGACTTAGCACCTGAACTGAACTGATTGTCCAAAGGACATAGCTTGATCCCTTTTCCTGTGGCTATACCTGTTCCAAGGAATACCCTTCACTCCTTTAATCCCCACTCCTCCCCACACTGGATCTACCCTGGCACCCTCTACAACCAAAATGATACCACATTCCCATATTACTCTAGAGCCCTCACTTGAATTTGATTTCAGGGGCTATGGCTTCCCCGTGGCCCTCCCCCATGTCAACGTGACCCCCTGGTTCCTCAGTGGTACTCACCCGTAAGGCCATCTGGCAAGGGCCAAGCACATCAAGGGTGACCAAGCCTTGCAGACCAAGGCCACTCCCCTCCACCTGGGCCCCCTGCAGGCTGGTGCTGGTGTTAGTGGAAAAGTGATAGATGTATCTGGTGCCCACGGGGAGGTGAGGATCAGCTGACCCTGGTGGGCAGAGAGAGGGCACACGGTGTCTCTTTGACGATCTGACACCTTCTGAGACTCAGCTCCACCTGGACTACTTAGGCATCCTAACCGTCACCTTCCCCTCTCCTCTGGCCTGTGAGCTGCCTGCCCCCAGCTCAGGGGAAGTGAGTGGAAAAGAAAATGAAGATATTAACAAGGAGTGCTTAATAAACATTACCTAGTGTTTCACATGCTAGGCCTTCTTCTAAGACCTTTATACACTCCCGAGTTTCTCAGCCTCCATGGTGTCAATGTTTTGATACCTTGTAATTGTGTTGTGGGGGCTATTCTGTGCATTATAGGATGCTCAAAAGCATCTCCAGATGCCAGTGGCACACCCCAGTTGGGACAAGCAAAAATGTCCCCAGACTTTGCAAAATGTCCCTGGTAGATACAGTCATCCTGGTTGAGAACAACCAATCTATTTTACATTAGCTTTTGGAAGCCTCAAAACAACTTTGAAGTGGGTACTCTCATTTTCTCCACCATACAGGGTTGGAAACCAAGGCTCAGAGAGGCTAACTAACTTGCCCAAGGTTGCACAGCTGGGATCCAAACCTTGGCTGTCTGATGATTCCTCACCTACTGCCCTGGTGGATATCAGCAGGGACCGGAGGTGGGCTGGGGAGAGTTCCCTGACCTTTACAGAACACAAAGCTGCAGAACTGGCTAGTCTGGAGGTATTGGAGACAATGGGGAGGTGGGGGAGGTACTCTGCGGTAGATTGGATCTAGAGAGCAGAGAGTCTGTGATTCCGGAACCTTCTGTTTAGACCACAGACCAATTGCGAAACACCATTAAAGTATTAATTATGACAGCTCATCCTTCTCCTGGGCTTTCAAATTGAATGAACACATTCTTGTTCATTTCTTTGTGCTCAAGATATAACCACATCTCACATTCCGAAAATGCTTCCTTCTAAGCCATTTGCCCCCAGTTTCTCTCTTGCCACCCCGAGACGCAAATAGAATCACTTGGCTGAAGATTTTACTCCACCTGGGGACCACAGGGTATGAGGGAAAGCCCCAGGGCTTTAGGGCTGGGATGGGTTAAGGACATTTTAACCTGAGTGTGACTGGCTTCTATAAATGCTGACAACCAGGCGGCCTTTGCAGAACCGGTCTTGCTCTTCCCCACTAGTCTCCCTGGGAATGTGGCTGAGGCCCTCAGGGGTTGTCCCTAATTAGACCTGGCCATGATCAGCTTCCCCTCCCCACACCCCTGCCCTGCCCTGTCTTGAGTTCACCAGAAATGTGATAAGGTCTCCGGATAGACTCACCTGTGCAGGAAGTCATGCAGGCGGCCACCTGCCCCACCAGCGAGTCTGGCATTTCTGAAATCACAAATCAGATGGAACCAGGGCAAGGCCTGGAAGAGGCATGCAACAGCCCATCCCATGGGCCACTGACCTGCTCTGGAAAAAGGACATTAAAGGGGCCAGGGGGACAAAAAGAGATAATTCCCACTCTCCTCTGTCTCACGGAGCTGGGAGTAACCTCCATGCACCCTCCACCCACCCCACTCGTCCCCATCTTGGGTACTAATACCACTGTCCTCCTGTTGCTCAAGCTGGTAACATGGAAGTTGTTTGTGCTTCCCCCTTTTCCCTTATCATCACCCCAAGTCCCAAGTGTCAGCAAGCGCTGCCAATTCCATCAGGTCTCCATCTGCTCCTCAGTTCATCCCTCCTTCCCTCCATCCACCTCTCTGTGGACCCTTCCCTGCCTCCAGCCATCTGTCTGTCTCTCCCTCCATCCACATCCATCGCTCCTTTCATTCATCTATCCGTCTGTCTCTCTCTCTGTCCATCTTTCTATCCATCTCCATCCATCCCCCCTCCCTTATTCCATCCTTCTCTCTCTCTCCAATCATGTCTCCACCCCCACAGCCATCACTCCAGGCAAAGCTTCATCTTTTCTCACCCAAGCAACCTCAGTAGTCTGTTCCCTGTGTCCACAGTTCATTCCCAACAGTTACAGTCATGTTTAAAAACCCTTAATCTAATCGCATCACTCCCTGTTTAAGAGCTCCTAAGTCTCCCCCCAACCACCCCAACCCACACACGTTCATCATAAAATCCTTCCCAAGCCAGCCGGCCTCTGTCTGCCCCTTTGGCTGTATCTCACCCCACTCGACCTCTAGCCAAGCTGGGCCTCCTCCAGCTCAAGGCCTTTACACAGACTCTTCCCTCTGGTCTCAACACTCCTCCTCCAGTTCTCATGTCCTACGCTCCTTCAGACCCCAGTGTAAGCATGTCTCCCTGTCCAGAGTAAATCCCCCCTTGTCAGCCCCTATCTTAACATCCTATTCTCTTCACAATGCTTATAAAAATGTTAATGATTTCACTATGTCCGTCATCTTCATCAAAATTGTATCCCCCAGTGCCTGGTTCCCAGTTGATACTGGAATGAATAAATGAATGAATACAACTAGCACACAGCACTTATCATGCGCCAAGTGCTGTTCCAAACAAGTTATATATTCAGCGTCTTCAATCCTGACAGTTCCCTGTCGTGAGTGCGATTGTTACTCCCATTTCACGGAGGCCCAGAGACTAACACGGTTAGTAGAACAGCCAGGGTTTGGACACAGGCATTCTGAGTCCACAGCCTTAACCACTACGCTGTCACAGAGCAACAGGGAGTGAATAAAGGAACGGCTGAACCAACAAAGGCAAGACCGGAAGACTGCGGCAGTGAAGGATGGTATCTGGCTCCGCTCCCTGGTGGATCTCATACCTCACTCACCGACCATCTACACCGCAGAACAACGAGGGTACAAGCAGAACAGCCAGAGACCTCCTCCGGCTGCCGAGGACACTCTGCAGGGGACCCTCAGACCTCCTCCCTGGAAGGGTCAGCATCTCTCCATCTGCCCGTCCCAACCCTCACCTGAAGACTCCCCATTTCCAACTACTATCACTCCTCATTTATCCTTCCTTCCAGCCACATGCCTGGCATTTCCTGGACATCATCCATATCCTTTCAGAACATCCTTAGCCGGGGGGTCCATCTGCAGCCATTTTCATAGAATGACTTTCCAATAAGACCATTACTATTCTCAAAACCCCACCCACTGTGCCTCAACTGGTAATCATAACACGTGCCAGCATGTTTTTAATCCCTTAAAAAAATATACTTTCCCAAAACGGGGGGAAAGTGCATTTTATGCCATTCCATTTAAACCTTTGCAATAATAGAAAACAGTAGGGTATTTGGCAGAGTTTTTGCTTCCACTGAATGTTTTGGCTCAGCCAACAAAATACTCTTTGCATTAAAGTAGAATATCAATGGATAAAACCACATTTCAAAGACATTTAAGTCAATCAATTTCCCTGCCAACTTGCCTTCAACTCTTTGATCACTTGAACCCCGGGCTCCAAATTAAACATGTTCGTGCATAATCATTAAACTCCCAGTTGTCCACAGATCCAGCATTCAGCTTCTTTGTTCCACTGATAACCTCTGCATCGGCTTTTTCTGCCCAGCTACGACAAAAGCAGTGATGCCTGCAAGCCTGGGTCTACCATGAGCTCCCAGGAATAAGGGGTGTTTGGAGAGCATTCTGCTTGAACCAAGTCTGTTTCCCTCCCATTTTTCAAGCACTTAACGAGACATATCTAAAGCTTTAAAAAAAGTTTCTGAAGAACAAAGACCATTCAATTATCCTACTAAATGTTATCAACCAAGAAGGGGGAAATGTTGAAAACTGGGGAGTGATAAATCTTTCCATCACTTCTAGGGAGAGACCGGACATAGACTGAAATTGGTGTCACCTATATAGCTCAGGAATGAAATCGAGCCTCGTTTCAGCTTTCTCAGAGGTCAAGTCTGATTCCCATTCATTTATTTACCCAGCCAGCACAGACTAAGCACCAACTGTGTGAGTGGCAAATAGGTGAAAATTCACCGAGTAAAACAGTTATGACAGGACCTGTACTGTCTGGGAAGTATCTGCCAGCCACATGCAGCTACTGAACATCTGAAATGTAGCTGGTGCTATGAAGAAGCCTTTCATTTTATGTAATTTTAATAAAATTTAAAACCTATGCTCAAGTCAGTTATTGGAAAACTTTTTAATCAATTTTTTATTTTAATTGGAGGATAATTGCTTTCCAATGTTGTGTTGGCTTCTGCCATACTCCAGTGTGAATCAGCCACATGCCCCCTCTCTCTTGAACCTCCCTCCCACTCCCTGTGGAAAACTTTAAAAGATGTTTGAAATGACTTAGTATGTGAAAGAATTGGGGGTGGGGATTTGAGCTAATTCTTATCAAATGATGGAATCATCATTCTCCACAAAGCACATCATATAAAAGAAAGTGATATAGAACTATGATATAAGCTTAGTGTTTTCAAGAATTCCTTGCATGTTTAGCCCCACTCTTGTCTTATCACATTCTACAGAATACACCATAGTCTTGCCTCATGTCCAAATTTACCTTGTTTGATATAATCTGAGGATCCATGCCTTGACTTTAACCCCTACTTCTGTCTTACCCAGAATGGTTGAGATAACTATTTCATATCTCCCATCTTTACTGTCTCAAATAAGTACTCCTCCACTCAATACTAAAACCTCATCACACCCCACTCCCAAAGTCAAAAGCATAATGACCTCATTCATCTCTTTCAACTCAAAATTTTAAGAAATCTAAAAGGAGATCAAGCATTTACAATGAACATTTAGCATTCAAATGTTCTAAGTACAAAGGAAGCACTGGATTTCTAAGAACAGAAAATATAACTCATTAATAATTTCTGTATTGATTACATTTTCTAATGATATTTTAGATATATTGGGTCAAGTACAATAACTTTGGCCACCTGATGCAAAGAGCCGACTCAATGGAAAAGACCCTGATGCTGAGGATGATTGAAGGCAGAAGGAGAAAGGGCGGCAGAGGATGACATGGTTAAATAGCATCACCGACTCAATGGACATGAATTTGAGCAAATTCTGGGAAATACTGAAGGACAGGGGTGCCTGGCATGCTGCAGTCCATGGGGTCAAAAAGAGTCAGACACGATTTAGTGACTGAACAACAATTACAATATATTATTACATTAATTTCAGGACTGCTCTGGTGATCCTAGTGGTTAGGAATCCACCTGCCAATGCAAGGGACACAGGCTGGATCCCTGGTCCATGAAGATTCTGCATGTTGTGGGACAACTAAACACACACACCTCAACAACTAAGCCAGTGCTCTACAAGAGACGCCTCTGCTAGGAGAGTGCACACATGTATGTATGACCGAGTCCCTCTGCAGTTCACCTGAAACTGCTTCTGCAATATTGTCAATCAGCTAAACCCAGTACAAAATTAAAAGTTAAAAAAAAAAAGCTCCCACTCACAACTAGAGAAAGCCCAAGCGCAGCAATGAAGACCAGTGCAACCAAAATAAATAAAAATTAAAAAAAATTTTTTTAATTAATTTTACCTTCTAACACTTTTTAAATGTGGCTACTCGAACATTTAAAATTACATACTAGCTTGCACTGTATTTTTAGTGGATAGCGCTGTCCTATACCTTCCTGCAATGAACAGACAACAAATTAAAGTTCATTTCACATTGTTACCCTGCAGACTGTTAAGCATCCTTGCACATAGGCTCAGGGAGCCTAAAAGTCAGCGTTTCCTCACTCAGGATTTCAAATCTGGACTCTGGATTCCAGAGGATGTTGGTGGAAGATGGGAGTGAGAGAGAGACGAGGGACCCACTTGTAACCTCTCCTTCCTTCTCCCCCATGAAATGTAAAACCAAGGGTGTGCAGAGCAAGGACAGGTAAACAGCCATCTGGCTATAAAAACACCATCCCAAGTGGATCTGCGCTGCCACCCCTTCGCCCCAGACAGAATAGGGTTGAGCAGCTTTACTTACTCCCTGAAGTCGCTGGCGCCAGCACCCAGAACAGGACCAGACCAAGGAAGCCCAGGGGCGCCGGCATTGCCGCTGGCCTGAGGGAGCCCCGCGCCACCAGCCTCGCTCTGCAGGGCAACCCGAACAGCCCAGAAAGGAGCCTTCTCTCCCAAAGGAGAGGGTTCAGCTTCAATCCTCTCTCCCAGCAAGTAGGGGATGGGAAGGGGAGGAGGGGGCTTCCAGGGCAAAGACCCAGCCAATCAGAAGCCTCTAAAAAAGTTCTTAGCCCCAGGAGGGAGGGAGGGGGGGCTTCTGATCAGTGAGGGGGAAAAAAATCCCTTTTCTGTCTAGGGAAAAAAAAAAAGAGATTTGCCTCTTCAAGTCTTGTAAATAGAGCTCTTGGGGCAGAAGGCAGTGTAGCATGGTTGGCCCTTTTTGTGTGTGGTCTAATGGACAGAACATAACATTTATCATTTTAGCCGTTTGAAGGTGGTAATTTGGTGGCATTGAGTATATTCATGACATTATGCAGCCATCACCACCATATTGAGTTCTGAGGTCTGATTTGGGGTTTGCCATTCCCAGCACTTAGTTAGGGTGGGCAAAGTAAACAGAAGAGCTGGCCTAGCCTCAGAAACGGCTCTCAGCAGCTGAGGGGTCTTATTTCCATGCTTCAGGCCCAAGGCCTCCCTCCTGCACACGTGAGGCCCACCAGCAGAGAAGCAGGGCAAGTCTTCTGGGATGCGACATGCAGGGAACTTCCCTAACCAGGGATCGAACACACGCCCCCTTCAGTGGAAGCACAGAGTCTTAACCACTGGACCACCAGGGAAGCCCCAAGTATGCTTTTTTACAAACCCCTTTGAGATGGGTGGCAGAGTGGTAAAGAATCCATCTGCCAATGCAGGAGATGCAGGTTTGATCCCTGGGTTGGGAAGATTCCCTGGAGAAGTAAATGACAACCCACTCCAGTATTCTTGCCTGGAAAATCCCACAGACAGAGGAGCCTGGTGAGCTACAGTCCATAGGATTGCAAAGAGTCAGACACGACTGAGCACACGTGCATTGAGATAAGTCATACAATCCTCCCATTTAAAGTACACAGGTCAATAGTTCTGGTATACCCACAGGCTTGTACCACCAACACCAGAACCAATTTTAGAGCATTTTCATCACCAAAAAGGAGAACCCCACCCGCCATAAGCAGTCATTCTTCGTTTCCGTCACCCCATGGTCACCAGTGATCTGCTTTCTGTCTCCCTGGATTTGCCTCTTTGGGACACTTCCTAGAAATGGAATCATTCAACTCGTGGCATGTTGTGTCTGGCTTCTTTCACTGAGCACCACGTTTTCAAGGTTCAGCCATGTACTAACCTGTGTCAGTATTTCACTCCTTTTTATAGCTGAATATTGTTCCATCGAATGGGTAAAGCACATTTGTTTGTTCATTCATCTCTTAACAGTTAAATGCAGCTTTCTGAAATGAAGACCAACTTGACTGACACATTATGTTCTATGGAAATAACCAATTGTGCTTTTAGACTTGGGCCATTTTCTTTTTTAAATTTTATGTATTTATTTACGGCTGTGCTGGATCTTTGCTGCTGTGGGTGCTTTTCTCGAGCTGCAGTGAGCGGGGGCTACTCTCTAGTTGTGGTGCGCAGGCTTCTCTTGTTGCAGAACACAGGCTCTGGGCGCACAGGCTTCAGTAGTTGCCATTCACAGGCTACAGAGCACAGACTCAACCGTTGTGGAGCACCGGCTTAGGTGCTGTGAGGCATGTGGGATCTTCCTGGACCAGGGATCAAACCCATGTCCCCTGCATTGGCAGGCGGATTCTGTACCACTGAGCCACCAGTGGTGGCAGCCCGAGTCATTTTCTTTTATATTTTGAAACCAGTAATTTCCCCTCCTGCAGCTCAAGCATTTGTATTGCCTGAGCACAGAAACTCCCAACACACAAGGCTGAAGACTGAAATGGCCACTCAGCTTACAGCTGTCTGGGGCCCCACGATGCGTTGTGGGCAGGGGGGTGCTACTAAATACTGTGAGAAAAAGCGGAAAACAATATCCGACTGGGCTGGCCTGGAGAAGCTACAATTCTTGAAGAGAAATGAGATGCACATGCAAAAAACATGAAATGAACTAAGGAGAGCCCTGGTCAGGGAATCACTAGGAACAGCTTATGGAGGAGAGATTTTCCCAGGACTTCGAAGAGTAGATAGTAACGTTGTTAGAAAACTGCATACTTCTGACTGGAAGAGAAATAAGTCCTGGAACCATAATACACAGTACAGTGTTTACAGACAACAAAATGATATTGTAAACACTGAACTTGCTAAGAGTCTAGATCTGAATTTTCCCCAACACTATAAAAAATACATTATAGATGATGCAAGAGAGGTGTTAGCTAAGGTGACAATGGCAAGAATATTGCAGTATAAATGTATCAAACTAATGGGTCACATGTCTTAAACTCACCCAATGTCAAGTGTCAAACATATTTCAATTTTTTAAAAACCTGTACATGTACAAGGCAAAGCACTCATTGAATATTAACTCATTCAGTCAAACCTCCCCACTGCCCACCCCCACCAACAGCAACCCACTAGGTTGCACTAGCAGCATCCCGTTGTACAGACAAAAAGAAGAGACACAGAGAGGTTAAGTCACTTGCCCGAAGCCACACAGCTTCTGAAGATTTTAACCCAGGGTTGGTCCAGAGTCCCAAATCTTTTAACGTGAGCAGCTTTGCTCAGTGGTTGTCATCTTCTCCTCTAGGAGACTCTGGTCTCTGCCCACATGGCTAGATCCCTTCCCCTTTCACAGTCAGGCATCTGAAAGAACACCTTACAGGGACTTCCCTGGTGGTCCAGTGGTTAGGATTCCGCGCTACCAACACAAGGGGGCTAGGTTCCACCCTTGGTCAGTGAACTAGACCCCACGTGCCTCAACAAGCCTTTGCATGTTTACTGCAACTAAAGATCCTGAGTGTGGCAACTAAGACCTGATGCAGCCAAATAAACACAGATTACTTTTTTAAAAAGCAAAGTTTAAAAAAAAAAACTGTACAACTTTCCATATGATGTTTCTCAATTAACATAACAGCATCACAGTATAGGCCTGGAAAATGAGAACCACTGGTGTGGGGGGGGCGACTCTCCCTCTTCCTCTCCCCAGGACATTCTGATGACCGTTTGGGTTTGCCATCACCTCACCCAGCCTACTGGAATTGACCAGGGTAGGGCTCCCAGAATCTCTGGCCTCGCTTCCCCGTGTCTGTCATTACTGGACAAAAATCTGATGCACTGGTTGGATGGAGCACCAGGATTCAAGGATCTGAATCACAATCAGCCTCTCCTAGACAAGACTTCCTACCTCCTCATTCTCCCACCAAAAACTAAGCTGCTTCCTCCTTGAAAGAATTTGCAGGATTGGGGTGGCAAATAACTGAAGGAGAGCTTCTAGTACTGAAATAAGGCAGAGGATAAAATAAGGCCCATCACTCCCAAGTCAGAGCTACCAAAAATAAGAAGCCTGCTTTTAAAACCAATGTGGACAGTGACTGCAGCCATGAAATTAAAAGACACTTGCTCCTTGGAAGAAAATCAATGACAAACCTAGACAGCGTATTAAAAAGCAGAGACATTATTTGCCTACTAATGTCCATCTAGTCAAAGCTACGGTTTTTCCAGTGGTCATGTATGGATGTGAGAGTGGACCATAAAGAAAGCTAAGTGCCTAAGAACTGATGCTTTTGAACCATATTGTTGGAGAAGACTCTTGAGAGTCCCTTGGACTGCAAGGAGATGCAACCAGTCCATCCTAAAGGAAATCAACCCTGAATATTCATTGGAAGGACTGATGCTGAAACTAGAGCTCCAATCCTTTGGCCACCCGATACGAAGAGCTGACTCACTGGAAAAGACCCTGATGCTGGGAAAGATTGAAGGCAAGAGAAAGGGACAACAGAGGATGAGATGGTTGGATGGCATCATCGACTCAATGGAAATGAATCTGAGCAAACTCCAGGAGATAGTGAAGGACAGGGAAGCCTGGCATGCTCCAGTCCATGGGGTCACAAAGAGTCAGACACGAGTGAGCCACTGAACAACAAAGACAGCATGATTTTATAGAGCTGTGACGGGAGATGCCTCACGGTGGAGAAGAACTGACCGGTAGGGGGTGCAGTGAGCTCTTCTTAGGTGGGTAAAGACTTTTATAGGCGATTTACCCTTTATGAACACTTCAGCCATGTTTCCCAAGACCTTATTTTTCAGAGCAGTTTTTGGTTCATGGCAAAAGCAACAGGAAGGCATAGAGATTTCCCAAATACCCCCTGTCCTCATGCATGCATAGCCTTCCCCATTGTTAATATCACCCATCAGAAAGGTACATTTGTTACCTCTGATGAACCTTTGATGACAGATCATTACCATCTAAAGTCCATTGTTTACCTTAGGGTTCACTGGGTGCTGAAAATTCTATGGGTTTGGACATATGTCTGATGACATATATGTGCCATTTTAGTATCATATCACTGGCCTAAAAAATCTGCAATCTGCCTGTTCATCCCTCTTTCCCTGAGTCCCCGGTAACCACTGATGTTTTTCCTGTCTCCTTGGTTTGCCTTCTCCAAAATGCCATGTAATTGGAATCACACAGTACATAGCCTACTCGCATTGGCTTCTTTCATGTAGCAATATGCATTTAAGTTCCATGTCTTTTTCATGGCTTGATAGCTCATTTCCCTTTACAGGTGAATCATACTTCATTGTCTAGGTGTACCACCATTTATTTCACCTACTGAAGGACCCCTTGGTTGCTCCTAAATATTAGCAATTACACTAAAGCCACTATAAACATCCATGTGGAGATTTGTGTGGATATAAGCTTTCAGTTCACTTGGGTAAATAGTAATATGATCCAGTAAATTGCTGGATCATATGGTGAGACTATAATTAATTTTGTAAGAAATCACTGAACTGTTTTCCAAAGTAGCTGTACTGGGAGTTTGCTGGTTGCTTAATAGTTAGGATTCTGGGCTTTTACTGCCTTGGCCTGAGTTCAGTTCCTGGCTGGGGAACT